ACACACACACACACACACACACACACACAGAGAGAGAGAGAGAGAGAGAGAGAGAGGGAGAGAGGGAGAGCCACATGCGAAGTGCATGTGCACAGAACAGGGTCCTGGGAAGCAGCGCCAACATTGAGGGCAGCAACTGCTCAAGGGATGATGCAGCCCTAGCCGGGCTCCGAAACCCCGTTTTGGGTCCTACTGACAGGTGCCAGGACGTCCTGTGGTGCTCATTAAACGCGTGTCTGTCCTGCAGTTCGCAGCTGCAGATTCTGCAGGAGAGCGGCCCCGGACCTTGGGGTACCGCCACCGGAGGTCGGGGCTCCATCCTAAACCGTCAGCTCTACCTACACCCTTGGCCCTATTCCTTATATCCTAATGAAAGCCTTAGACCCTTGCGCCCAGACAAGTGAAACCGGCGAAAGTATGAGCCCTCCCTCAAGCTCTTGAAATTGATCAGAACGGGACAAAATGGTATGATAGGAAGAGCCCGCTGGCGCTCATGGTGTTGTTGATGCTGTTGGTGAAACCGATGCTCCGTTCGTTGAGCTGCTTCCAGTGTGGGGCGGTGCTGGGAAGCTTTTTTAAATTGTGTGATATATATTTCGTTGAACGAAGGCCACGAGAAAGAAGTGGCGTAAGCAAAGCCCCAGCAGTTCCTGGTGCCCAGCGTAAAGGCGCCAGTTTGCATGCGCGTTGCAGCCGCTGCAGCTGCTGCTCGGTTGCTGCTCCTGCTTGGGCTAGCGCTGTATGAGCGCCTCTTTGAGGTACAGATGGGACTGATGTCACGCTAGACTACTGGAAAAGGCAGGAGGATTGGCCCTGCTGCTTCCTATGGCGCAGCAGCAGCCGCTGCGGCAGCAGCAACAGCAGCAGCAACAGCGCCGTAGTCTTTTTGTAAAGTTTGATGGAGGCGCAGGATTCCCCTGTCAGGGTCCCCCCTGATGGAGGCTTATCATGGCGAGCTTTGGAAGAGTGCAGAAACAGCAACGGCTGTTGCTGCACGAGTATCTGCAGAAGCCAAGGTAGCAGCAGCGACAACTACACCAGCATGCCCGCCAGCATCTGCATCTGCAGCCGCCGCGACAGCAGACCAGATATCATGGGCATTACACTGGATGGTGTATGTGGAGGGTCCGATGAGCAGCCTGGCGCCTCGGTGGCAGTACATGAAGCCTCTGCTGCTGGTGCTCGTTCAGATACTGCTTCCACCGCTGCTCTTGCTGCTGTTTGCGCTCAAGCTACGCCATTGACGCCCGGCTGGTTAGGCGCAGTGCGAACTTCCCTATCCTGTAAAACGGGCGACAGCCGGGGCCGGGGCAGCTCGCCGCTGTCGTCTGCAGCGGCAGCCTGGACAGCGGCGAGGGCTGTTGCAGCATCCACTTCAGCTGGAGCAGCCGAGGCCATAGAAACGTTGGCAGTCGAGAGGGCAGATTTGCGACCTTTGAGGGGAAGGGGAGCAGCAGCGGTAGCCGCATCAACAAGACATGTCCCCGTGGGGTCGATGCCCCCTGCAACTCCCTTTCACTGCGGCAGCTACGAAGGTAGAACCCTCAGCCACCACACCAGCAACGTAAAAGGCTGCAACGATGGCACCAGTAGTATTAATTACGGAAGTGGAATCTTCAACTTTTGCTGTGCCCGAAACATCTACGACAGTATCAATTGCGCCGGCGGCAGCAGCTTGTTCAGAAGCAACAGTTGTAATAGGTCTGTCTCTATGTACCGGCTGCCCGTCAGCATGAGCCATTTTGCCGCTTGCAGCAGCAGCCCTGCTTCGGCTGCTGCGGCTTCTGCAGCAAGCCGTGAGCAGCAGGTAGCGCTGCACGGTTTGAAGAGGCACTCTGACCCGCGGGAGCTGCAGATGCGGCAACAGCAACAATTCCAGCAAGGCGAGAATGAAGATCCGAAGATGCTGCAGATTATGCGCACCCATGCCTTTTTGCATCTTACTAGCGGAGCCGTTGCAGGTGAGGGCTTGCGACCTCGAAACACCTACACGCTAAACCGAACACCCGAGCCCTTAAGGCTAAACCTTAAAGCCTAAGCGCTGCTTTGGCACAGCGGAGGCCGTAGGGACTAAACATTTCAGGGGGTGGACATTCGGGTGTAGAATAGTGCAGGGTATGGGGGTTAGGGTTTAGGGCTTTTGGGTCAGGTTGTGCGCACGTAGGTGCTGTCTCGCGCACCGCCACTGCTCCGCTGGACCGGGTGAAGGTTATGCTGCAGTTGCAACCTTTTTCGGTGCCGCTAAGGCAAGCAGCGCGAGTCATTATGCAGCAGGAGCTGTCAGTCAAGGCTGCTGCGGCATCTGTGGCTCCTTCTGCTGCCCTGGGTGCCGCTGCACCGAGCAGCAGCAACGCTAGCAGCAGCAGCAACAGCAGGGGCAGAGAACAACGGTCTCCGCAACCCGCTAAGTCAGACGGACGAGCCCCACCGCAACAGCCGCATCAGCAGCACGGGGTGAGACCGGCTGTGCGGTATGCATCGGCGCTCACGAGCAGCAGCAGCAACTGTTGCAACAACAGGAACAGCAGCACGAGCAGCAGAGGCCACTTGCTTTTGGGAGGTTGGCGTGGTTTCTTCAGAGGGAATTTGACGAACTGTTTAAAGGTTGTGCCGGAGACAGCTGTCAAGTTCTATAGCTACGACATCTGCAAACATGCGCTAGCCCACAGAAAGCAGCAACAGCAACAGCAACAGCAGAAACAACAGCCACACCAGCAACAGCCGGCGGAGCCAGCAGAACCTCACTTGCAGCTTTTGGACAGGTTCCTCTGTGGGGCAACGGCGGGTCTGTGTGCGCAGCTACTCATTTACCCTATGGAGCTCGTAAGTATCCCAGCATCCACCCTCAACCCTTTTATACTCCAGCGACCGCAAGAGGGATTGAGCGTTGCGGGCTCAGTGTTTAAAGCTTGTGATTTATAGTCTGTCGTTTACCTTTTTTTTATGTGTATGCAGGTGAAGACTCGTTTGGCAGCTTATGGGCCGGGGTGTATGTATACCGGAGTGCTGCAGTGTTTTAGGGCGATTTACAGAGAGGGTGGCCTTAGGCGTCTGTACAGAGGTGTGGGGCCTTCTTTGCTGGGCATCATTCCATATGCTGGAATCGACTTGGCTGTTTTCGAGACACTAAAAGAAGCTTATGTCCAAGGAGTGATTATACCCAAACAGCAGCAACAGCTGGAACAACAGCAGCAGCTGCTGCTGCACGCAAAGTGCAGCAGCTGTAACCCCAAGAACAGCCCTGCCGGGATGGTGTCCTTTGCCCCTGGTGCAGCAGAAGCTGCAGGAGCAGCTGCATCCGCTGCTGCGCCTTTGCGAGGCCGCTGCCGCTGCGATGAGAGCAGCGGCAGCAGCGGACTTCCCCCCGCCTCGCCTCCGGCTGCGGTGCTGCTCCTAATGGGCGGCTGCAGCAGCCTCATTGGGCAGGTCTTGGCGTACCCGACGGCGCTGGTGAGGACGCGCATGCAGGTGGACGGGAGCGGAGGTCAGCCTTTGCTCTACCGCAATAGTGCAGCAGCGGCAGCAGCGGCCATTCGCCAAGGTGGGTTCAGAGGTCTCTACAGAGGTCTTCAGGCGAACTGCTGTAAGGCCCTCCCTGCTGTATCACTTTCTTGGATTGTCTATGAGAAGATGAAATACGCCATAAGCAACTTCGAGAGGGATTGGACCCAAAAAGTGGAGCAGCAGCGGCTTGCCGCACGCAACAGCCCCTGAGGCAGACACTGCAGCACCGGCAACCGCGCTGCAAACAGCAGCTGCAGCGGCGGCGGCCACACGCCCTCCCAAAGCAGCCGCTGCAACGGCTGAAATCGCAGCTGTTGAGGGGCAGGGGCACTGGGCTCCTGTCAGAACCCCGCAAGCATGAGAAACGCACCTCTGCAGCAGCAGCAAGTGCTGCTGTTGCTGCAGCCTGGGCAGTAGCTGCTGCTGCAGTAACGGCTGCAGCTGTTTTATGGTTGCCGCCGCTCCCTAGCAGACACTCTGTTCATGTTGACGCATGGCACCTAACAGGCGTATTTTTTGGGAGGCAGCGCTGCTGCTGCCTTCAGCAGCAGATGTCAGCCGGCCCACCTATACATCCGGCGCTGCAGCACCAGCAACAGCCTTAGCAGTTCTTGCGCCTTGAGGTACAAACCGAGGGAGTAGTGGCACCCACTTCCAAAAAATGGCCGTACGCTACCGCGCAAGCAACGGCACCACCTGCTGCAGCCACGCTGCACGCGGTTCGCAGTAGAAGTGCTGCATTTTCCTGCACTGCAAGTGCGGAAGGATGCAGCAGCAACGGCCGTATCTGGTCAGCAAAATACCGGGAATAATGAACGACACGGAGGGTTGGTGGCTTCTAGGGAAGCCTAAGGAAAAGTGCTACTAAGTGCAGTCAGTCTGCTGCTGGCCCGCAGCGTTGCTGCTGCTGCTGCAGCCGCAGCAACGTGACAATGGGAAGAAGTCCCATGCGAGGGACAATGCACTGATGTGATGTGCTACAGCTGCAGCAACAGCTGCTGCTACTGTGCTCGCCGCCGGCGATACTGCAGCCGCTGCTCCCGTCTCCTGCTGCAGCTTTTGGTTCCCTGCTGCAGCAACAGCTACTGCGAATATCCTGACACGGACAAGTTGGCCAAAACACCACTGTCTGTTGCAGCAGCATCAGCAGCACGACGCGCTGCTGTTGTGTGCCACTGCGATTTGCTGCAGCAGCAGCAACGACGGGGCGCTCATGCTTTCTTGCTGCTCTTCGACTTCTTCGCTGGTGTCTTTTTTGTGGTTCGTTTCTTTGAGGCCTTTTTGCCCGCCTTTGCCTTATCCTGCTTCGCCTGGGTCTTCCTGATGGTCTTTTTTACCTTGGGTGCTGCAGCTGCTGCTGGAGCAGCAGATGCAGCACGTGATGTTTTCCTGCCAACGGTGGTGCTGCCCTTTGTTGCAGCAACCTTAGAGGCCTTCTTTCCCGGGGACTTTTTGGGGGCCTTCCGGGCAGACTTCACACTGGGGCGGGCTGGAGCCATCTTGCTGCTGCAGTTGCTGCTGCAGTTGCCGCTGCAGTTGCTGGCGTGAGAGGTGGCCTGTCCTGTGCGTCCGGTGCCTGCTGCGGCTGCAGCAACACCAAGAAAGAAAGAGACAAGAAATTACAGAGACAGCAATGAGCTATAAAATGTACTTTTGTTTGTGACGGCCTGACATCGTTCTCTGGGTCGTGGTCAGGGGTGCCGCCGCTGTGCTGCTGCAGTGTCTGGCTAGCTGCTCGAGAGCTTCCTACTTGCATTGGAACAGAAATGTGTGTGTTTAAAAGTGTGTGTTTCCGTAGTGTGCCAGTACTAGCCTATACACTGCCGATTGCTTCCCCAACTATCTCGCTCCCGCAACACACGGCCACTCGTCGCCCCAGCGGTCTCCAGGGCTGACCCCCCTCGGATATCTGTGGATTTCTGCTGTCTTTTCTGCCTAATTCTCCCTACTCCTCTATTTTGTTTAATTTTAACGGGTTTCGAGTCCGCATTAGCAGATCTAGCCGCCGGGGGAGGCGGACGTCTCCAGGACACCTAACTGGCGCAGACAGTTACTATTTACTCAACAACCTACTGAAAAGCGGCACGTGCAACGGCCAAGTGAAATTAGCGTGCTTCCAGCATTAATGTAGGGGCGTCCAATAAAGGAGCACTGACGAACACTGTGTTGCTGCACCGACATCCGCAGCGAAGTGAAACTGCGTGAAGTTGGTACGCGTACCTGTATTGGCATGCAAGGTGCCTCCTAGGGGACGAATAAGTTTTTAACAACTGTCCGCTGTGTTAGCATACGCAGCAGGAGAGGCTTGTTGTGCGTGCGCGTGGGGCTGCCTTGTAGGATTAGATGCAGCAAGGTGAGGTGCAGCTCACGACGGCGAGCTCCTCTCCTCACCACCCCCAGGCCCTTAGCCACTGTGCCCAGGACTCCTGGGGATGGAGGGTAAGTGCCCGTGCTTTTTAGAAAATCTCACATTAACTCCTTGGGCTCCATTGCAACTTACGACCGTACGCGGGTACGATCTCGTACTCTCGTTGCAGGCGCAGCGGGCAGGTAGGGTGAAGCATGTTGGCGTTGAGGTTGGGCTAATAATTTTCAACTATTTGTGTTTAACAATTGCCTTTACTGTTATTCCATGCATTACAGAAGTACATGAGCGCGCTCGCCTCCTCCAGCCACTGTATTCCTCGGGGACAAGCTGCAAGAACTCTGCAAAGTACTGGTGTAACGGCGGAGATTCTTTTCGCCCCAATCAAGGAGGGGAACACGGACTGTGGCCATGCAACGAGGGCCCTCAATCTCACTTGAGAGCCGTAGTGAACTGCAATAGCTTCAGAATAGTTCGGGCTGCCGGGGGGAGCAGCTAAAATCCGTTCCTGTCTCCAGGCGTCCCGGGCGCGACAGCACGATGGCCTTGTAGCTCATATTGAGAGGTGGCCTGTGTCTGTTGGAACGCATCTTGTTGCAATTAGTGCTGCAAGACAGCCGCAGATGCAATCATGCACAAGACTCATTCCAGTGCATGTGCTAACACAGTAGCCAGTTTACAAACGGTTCCTTGTCCATCAGTAGCCAGCTTGCGAGCAAGTAGAACTACATGGGGCAACTCTAGACACACCATGCTACATATTTTCCCCTCCCTCCCCAAATGTCTCCCCCTTATTACATCATGGGGCAGGCAAAGTTGGTACGCCTACCTCGGCTTGCTCGCATACTGGCTACGGAGGGCCAAATAAGTTTTTAACAGCTGTCTACAGTGCTAGGACATGCAGCACAGGCGGCTTGGTTGAGCTTCCGAGTGGGGTTGCTTTGCAGCACTTGCAGCACGGTGCGTTGGAGGTCTCTTGGTAAGACGCCATTTCGCAGCAGCTCCGCGTTCTTGCGCCTCTGCGTCCAGGAGGCATGGGTATTGGAGGGGAAATCAATTGCGTTTGAGAAATGGGGACTGTCTCGAACTGCAGTGGAGTCAAGGAGTTTTTTCAAGCCTTTGACTGCAATGCACTTGCAACGAACGGTCCTCAGGTGTGATCGACGACCCTCGCTATGCCCCTACCCCCAAACAGCGCACGCGCTTGTGTTCCTTGGAGCCCAAATAATGATTGATGCACCGAGGGAGAGGAAGGAGGCTGCGAGACAGGGCAACCCGAAACACGGGAAACGAAAAAAAGGGCTAGCAGCACATGTCTATGGTGCCAATGTTTGCTGAAGCAGCTGTCGGGAGCATCTCACCACCGCAGCCGGGGCATGGACATTAATGAGTTAGGCGATCTGCGCGCTGCTCCAGGGGTGGTAGCCTCTCGTTAGTGACGGCGTCCCAGCCTAAGCAATAGTATGCAATGAACTGCCGCCAACGCGGTAGGCAAATACGTGTGAGGGGGGGCCGCACAGCTGCAGAAGGGGGCGCACGCATTAGTATGAAAGCAGTTGAAAGTGTTTTCGGTGGCGGCGCCGAGCTAGCATACGTAGAAGGTGGTGCGCAGGCCATAGTGGAAAAGTAATTGACAGCGTAAACAGCGTGGGTATACAGATACAGGCAGCTCTAGGCAGCTCTACACACGTGATACACCAACATTCCCCAAAAAGTTCTACGCAGCAAGCATTTTAGCTGTGCTGTGCATGTAGTCGCCTCCCTGAGTCGAGGAGGGAGTGCTGACGCTCTTTCGCGCAGTCGATCCGCTGAGACCCACTCGGATCTTCGGCTTCTTTTGGGTAATTATCATCATATTCTAGTTCTACGGGGCCACTCTGCATCGTTATGCGCGTGTAACGCGCATCTCATTTCCGTCTAGTTGCTCCTTCGCTGCAATGACGCTGCTGCGTTGTTGTAAAGAGAACTCGGGAAAAATCAGGTCAACGTGTAATCGTTTGTAAGCTAATAATGCGGTGACGTCGCTAAGTTAGGGCAAGTTGGCAGTGTAAGCCAAAGCGTTGACTGGAGAAAAATCTGCACGATATCGTTTGGTTTGGTTTCTTGCCTGGTGTTCGTGTGCCCTCTTCAAGCATTCCTGAGCTACTGCAAGCTGTTTGTGGAAGTCTGCAGCTGCGGCCATTCGGGGCTTGCTGCCAACTACTAGATCCATCTTCGAGCCAGACAACGGTGTTTCGGTGCAGACGAAGAAAATCAAGAAACAGTGATGAGCCTTGAGTGGAAGTTCACTACAAAATACCACACAAGTTTTATGCTGACAGGTTTTGCTAGACCCTCTACCTCTTGGGGGGTTTTGGTGCTCTTGCTGTGTTCGATATCAAACTGGGTCATGAATTCGCATCCCAGAGCTCTTAAGCATTTGCGGACCTCCCCAGGTACGATGTTATCTGGAAAACCATAAAATTTCCAGGCAAGTACCTTGAATAATTATGCCATTGCCTCTGCGGTTACTGAATTCGAAAAGGGGATGAAGAGCGCAAATTCGCTGAGCCTAGCCACAACGACGGAAATGCTACCACGTTTTGACTGATGGCAAATCAACTACGACGCACATTAAGAAATCCTCCAAGACCCGTTCGCAAGAACACCGATTTAGGGGTGCACCCTTTCTCGAAGCTATCAGGGTCCACAGGAGACAGGCAAATTCTTTGAGGGCTTCGGCAAAAGGCAGATAGCCAAATATTACCCAGGGGAGAGGGCCCCCGACGGAGATCATTGCAGCAGTAGTCTCGAGATGCTGCGGAGCAAGAAATCCGCCTGTCTTAACGTCTGGATCCTGGAAGAGGAAAGTGGTGAAAGACAGACAAACAATACGCGCTGAGATGACTCTGCATGCACAATTATCAGGCTTGCTTGGAGTGCACCATGCTCTTCCGGTTGTGTTGAGCATTTATTGGTGCCTCCATCATCTCTGGAACATCACATCTCAGGAGTGCCCCACTGGGAACACCAGGCGTCACTGAATAGGGCCACATGTAGGGCCTTTCAAGGCCTATCAAGGATAACCAAGGGCTACTAGGAGCGCCTAGGGGAATTCAAGGGACGCTGGCAGATCCCATCACGGGTGCAGTGCAGCTCCCCTGAATTTTGGTCCTGCCTGGTAACCTGTTGACTGTCTCTTGCTCAGTCTCTAGTGTCTACTCTCCCCTGACTGGTACGTGCAAGCTATGTAGTGTGACACGGCGAAAAGCGAGGAAGGGCCTTCGTCGAGTAACGAGGGAATTTCTACTATGTTGTTGTCAAATTGTTTGGAAGCCATTTTGTCTGTCCTATGGTGGTGTCTGCGACATAACACCTACTGACATGACAAGTCGTAGTCCACTCTACGCTCCGCCGTTTTGTACAAACCAAGACATAGTGTAATGGACAAAAGTTCTTGCCTGCTCTTCTATGCAACCTCTGTCTATTTTCGTCATTTTCGTCTGCAATCTCTGTCTATTTTCGTTAGCACCCGCTCGCGCAGACGCATATGCAGCCGACGCATATGCAGCGTACGTTGGCGCTCCCCTTATTTCTTTCCTGTTTCCCATGGACTGCCATAGTCTGGACGTCAACTAAATAGACAAGTGTAACAGGGAATGGGAACAGTTCGCAACTCCTCAGCAACTGCCGGAGACGGCAGCCTTTGTGTCCCACCTATGTGGCGCTCTCTGCTGGCTGGTGGATTGAACCTTTCCCCTGTGCACACTGAAAGCAACACATGCACTTGCTGCTGCTGCTGCTGTCGCTGTTGCTACTGCATCTCCCTCTTCGAGCTCAGCAAGCGATGGCTGCAAAGGGACATTCAAGGGCTGGAAAACGCTTGCGCGTGTTTCCCTTTCGCATGCCCAGACTGGTACGGAACGATGGCGGATACGCCGCTGTCAGCAGTATCTGCTGATAGTGCCACCATTGCTGCACATATGACTGCAGATTTGCTAACGCCTTTGCCTTATTCACTTCCTTGCAGCTGTTGTTGCTGTTGTTGCTGTTGTTGCTGCTTCTACTGTTTCTGCTGCTACTGTTGCTGTTTTCATGGTGCAGCTGCAAGTGCAGCCGCTAATGGCGCCGCCGCTACAGGCAGCAGGCAGCAGGGCTGTAGTCAGCGAGTCTGCAACGTAGCTACTGCACCTCTCAAGAGGCAATCAGAATATTCCGCCTCTTCAGCTCACTAATAGAAAGGAAAGGCAACCAAGTCTGTAATGCTGCTTGGCTTGGATGCCGCAGCAGCAGAGACTCTTTGCTGTTGTGCAGTAGGAACACAGTCGCTCCTGCGGCAGCTTTACTTGAGTTAAGAGCACTGCACCCTCTCCAGCCACGGTGCCTACGCCGCCAATTTTGAAACATGCTATGCATGTTTCAAAATGGGAGGCCCACTAGAGCAGTACATGCTGCTGCAGGTCAATTCCACTGCAACATAAGGAAAGGATAATCGCTCTGAAGGAACAATAAAAACCGAAAGTGCAAATGTTTCTGATCCTAACAGCAGCGGCAGGAACTGCTGCTGCTACTGCTCCGCCGCTGCTTCTATTGGGTCCCGGGCACCCATGCAGCGTCTCTCTTTGACAGCTCTGCGGCTGAGACGTCCCTGCTTCTCTTGCGTTGCTACGATAAAAGACTGCCTCGCCGTCGATTGCTGCTTCGGCAACTGCTTCTGGTGGTGGTGCTGCTGGTGGAGCTAGAGCTGCTGTTGATGCTGCTGCGATGCTTTAGGAGCTGGTGGTGCCGTCTTTGAGGTTGGGGTTGTTGCAACTTCTGCTGCCTCTGCTGGTGACGAATGGGAGCTGTGGGGTAAACAGATGCAAAGGCTTTCCCTGAACCCAGATGTGACGCTGAAATGCTGCTGCTGCTGTTGCTGCTTTTGCTCCGCATTGATGCCTTCTGAACGCCAACACTGCCGCCACTGGCGCGCCGACGAAGCGTAACAGTTGGTGCGGTTCGTCGTTGCCGCAGTACCTGCTGCTGTTGGTGGTGCATCCTCGGATTTTTTGCTGAGCCTTGTGCAGCCTCTTGCTTAATGCGGCCATTCGTCAGCCTCTTCGACACAACTGCTGCAGAAGCAGCACCAGAAGCAGGTGCTGGTTCCACTACAGCAGAATCTGTTGATGCCACTGCTGCTGTTGCTTGAGTAGCTGAAGGATTGGTAGCCGCAGCGGCGGGCGCAGGCTCATCGGGCGCTTGCTTCTCCTTAGCGTGTAACTGCGCAACATTAGCATCAGCGGAAGCAGCAGCTGCCACTGACGCTGATGTTGGTGCATCGAGATTGCACGCAGTACCAGCAGCAGCACGAGCCTTGGGATCTGCCAGCAGCAGCTGTTGCAGCACGGTGTCGGTGACGAAGCCACCGCAATAGAAGAGGACCCGTTCCCAGAGCCAAGGAGATGGCAGCTCTGTCTCCCACCCCTGTAGCACCACGCAACAAAAGTCTGAGACAGAAGGAAATGCATCGAGGCAAAGGAGGCAAAGCGCAAACCAAACGACACCAAGATAAGACGACGAGTTGCACAGCCCAGCGGACCCAAGTGAGCAATAGGGGCTGCAAGCATCGGACGCAACGACGGGAAGACACTTCGCCCCAATCACAAGCAACCACAAGGAGACAGACGACATCTGACAAACAACTGTGAAGATAAATGCCAGCAAGGCTCCAGACCCACGCTGATTCAGCCTGCGTCGCTCAGCTGCATGAATGAGGCAGTGACGCTGCTACTCTTTCTCTATCTCCATGCCCGCCTGCCGAGGCACGAAAGCGAATGGAAAACTCACGGGTTCAAACAGGCCGCGCTCCGTGGCATACCGAAAGATGCGAGCAAGCAGACAAGCGAAACCCAAGCCATGATTCATATACCTGCGAACAGTGGCAGCCGCAGCAGGTGGAATCTGCTCCATGGAAAAGCAAGGATAGTACCCGAAGGAGCATCACCACTGGTACTAGCAGCACCACCGCTATGAGCAGGAGCAGTAGCCGTAAGGGAAACAGGAGCAGCAGCAACATGCAGGAGCAAGGGTTGCGTCTAGAGTAAGGCACCACGTCTGGGGAAAAGGCAGTGGGAAGCTAGCACAGGGGTTGCAAAAAACTAAAATGGCATCAGCGATGGCAGAAATAGCCAGGAAATAATAAAGGAAAGAGACTGAGCGTCTATTCAACCAACCGGAGGTGTGCCAACTCGTGGAAGAATATTCCGAGCTGCGTTGGCAGCTGCAGTAACTGCTGAGGCTTCTGTAACTGCCGCATGCGAATTCGGATGCAGTACGACCACCTGGTGGTGGCGGTGCTGCTGCTTGCAGCTTCGGCTGCTGGGCGCGCTTGCGGATCGGTGTTGCTGCGGTTCCTACTGCGGCCCTGGAGCTGTAGCTCATCAAGTCGCTCTTTTCTGCAGACACACCACATGACGTTGCCTACCCATCCCTTCAACATAACAGCAGCGCTGTTCATTGAGTCCGGCATTCCTCCTCTCAGTACAAATGCATTCAGAGGCTCCAACCAGCAGCAACAACAAGCGGCGGGGGTCTTTCGTGTGGCAGGATAGCAGGCGGGCAAAGGCAAGCAGACATCAGCTGCAGTGCTCTACTTAGGGCAAGCTCAAGCTGAAAAAGGCTCAGGCAACACTTGCATGCTGTTTAGGGGCTTCCGAATGACTGATCCCGCCTTCCGGTGCAGCGGGTGTTGTTCTGCCAAGAAGAAATAACTGCACTCGCGAGAAAAACAAAAGACAGATAGTCAAATGCGTGTCTTCCTGCTGCGCCTTTCGGTTAGTGCTAGCAAATTGAGCTACCCTGGACTAAATACAAACGCAAGCATAGAGACGGTGTCACAAATGGGGAAGAGAAAGGAGCACAGGCAAAAGTGGTATAGGAAAAGTAGGGTTCAAATGTGAAAAATGGAAGCAGAACAGAAAAGGCACAGGGGTAACAAGGAAGTCCTCCACCGCAAACCATTAGTCTTAAGCCCTACACCCTAAACACAAGAGGGTGGGCGCTAAAACCGCACGAACGACGAACTATACATCCTGGGAAGGAATCCTATGCACGAAATCCACAACCGTCTGTGCAAAATACGTGAGCTTCAGCTAAAGCACCAGGATATCTTAACCCTTTCCCTTGAACTGTAAGCCCATACTATTCGCTATATGCTATGCACTACGCCCAAGCTCCAAACCCCAAACTCTAAACTCTCAGGCTCACCGAAAGCCGAATTCCCTGCAGAGGGGAATACCGTATTCGCAGTGGAGTCTATGAATTGAAGCAGCAACCTCTCCTCTGTTTTTTAATTCCACTGTAACCCCATTCACCTGCGCACACTCCAAGCCCCGTACCCCACACCGTAAACCCTGTACCCTGTACCCCAAACCCTAAAGTATAAGGCCTGGACCTAATATCGCAAGATATAAGCCCAGGCAGGTGGCAATGCAGTTCCCAAAGCCCTAGCTGGTCCGCGGCTGCGCAACGAAAACCTTGAACCCGGGGTCACAACCTTAACAGTCAACCCTACGTCCCATCCCCTACACCCTCGCCTTTGCAGATTTGAAGGTGTAGTAAGACCCCTCATCGAGCCGGCATTTCCTTGCAACTTTTTCTGCTCAGAAGGTACACCCCAGACATGGAGACAGAAGACACGCGTAGCGGAGAAGGCACAAAGAGATGAAACCCATAAAAAATGAAAGCAGACACCAGCACACATGAGGTGATTTGCATGGGACACTGAACAACCCTTCAAATGCCCTTCTGAACTCTGTTTGTGGCTCTCTTTCCTATATATGAACCGTCTCCTTGCCTCCCTGAATCCTAAGCTTTCTGTCTCTGACACATACTCCACCTATCACTGCACCATCCAGATGCATGGTCGCATACGGAGTGGCTGGGGATCTGCTGCAGTCAAGTTAACTGGTTGTCGCTGCTGTGTCGGAGCCTTTAGCTTTTGCTGCAGCCTCTGTTGCTGCTGGCGTTGCAACTGCTTCTCCTGCATCCGAGCTCGGGCCAAGCGAACCTCCTCTTCGGCCCCCCTCATCGCTCTTGCAGCTATTGCAAGCACCTCGGGCGGCAGGTCCGGCGTGTGGCTTTTGCTGCTGTTGTTGCTAATGCTGACGCCAGTTAGGTACTCTGCAGCTCTAGGAGAGAGACCGTATGGCCCTGCTTCAGCTGTAGGGTTAGGCAGCAAGGGTGAAGCAGCAGAAGCCGCAACAGAGAGGAAGCTGTTCGGATGCTCATCCGGTTGTTCGAGACGTTGCTCTGTCCGTTGTTGTCTTTGCTCTTCTTGTTGTTGCTGTTCCTCCCATTGAGTCTGGAGACAAGCTGTAGTGGGTTGTGGAGAGGGCGTGCAGGAGGGGGTTGCACCAACTGACTGCTGCTGCTGGTATGTGCTGCTACTGCTGCTGTTGCCGCTACTACTGCTGGTTTTGCCACCGCTTGCGCTTGCCATGTAGAGACTTTTTGCAGGGGGCAGTGAGTGTCGGCTGCTTTTGGTGAGGGGAAAAGACCGCAGGCGGTGCTGTTGGCTGCTGCAGCCGCTGCTGCTGTTGCTGTTGCTGCTGCAGCTGCTGGCAGTCAAGGAGGCCCTGCTAGGAAGGCGCAACCCGGATATCCCAAGTTCAACGCAACTGCCGCTGTTGCGGCTACTGCTTATGTTACTGGGAATCAGGGTACCTCCACTGGGCAAGGCAGTCATGCTACTGCGGGCCTTTAACGAAAGGTTCCCGCGCAGCAGCTGGTGCGGGGGCTGCACTTGGGGTCCCCAACTCCATCGTAGGTGCCAGCGGCTTCCTAAAGAGGAGACAAAGCGTTTGAGTTGGGGAGAAGGCCCCCCATGTGGGGGTTTCTCTCTCTGAGACCCCACAGGCAGGGTAAGCGATCCCTCGGACATGGGGTCAGAGGCGCAAGAGTTGCTGCGGGGCTGTTTGCTACATACTGGGGCATATGCACACTTAAAATACTAGTGTGCGAGCATGTCGGCTGGGAGTTGCGATAAGAGGGCGAAGAAAAAGTCAAAGCATTACTGTCCGAACAACAGCGCCGTGGGCGCCTTCGCGACTAGCACTAGGGTATAGGCTTCAGGGTTTAGGCTTCAGTGAAGTTTGCGGTCTAGATTTTCAGGGGTGTCTGCACAGGCGTCGGCCCCACACGGGCTGTCGAGTGAATGGGCTAGGCGCCGGTAAGCCTAAACGCTGAGCAGTGAACGCTAAACTCCCGAATAAGCTTGCGACACATGAACACCCTGTGCACCAAGGTCTCCGAAAGAGCAAAGAAGCTAAAGAGGAAAAAAAGCAATGTGTAACCGATGAACTGTCTTGAGCGATGAGCAGGCTAAAGGGAACGACCGTGTCGAGGGTCACTCAGTCAGTGTGACTGGATGAGTAGCCTTGGCGGCTGGGGCGTCAGGATGGGGAAGGGACAAAAAAACCAAGTGAAAAGAAAATGAAGCTAAAAAATTCATCCAAAGAGAGGCGCGCATGCGCTGCTGCTGCAGCAGCAGTCACTGCATCACCAGCAAGACTCTTCTGGCTAGCTGTGAGGCCCTCTTCCGAGCATCGAAAGCAAGGGCTCTCTTCTGACAGGGACTCCAGTTGGAATGTGCAGGCAACAAGACACAACAGATACAACTTACCAGATACGGAGGCAGAGGAAAAGGCAGCAGAACAAATCCCGTAATTAGAGGAGGGAGTTCAGCGAATCCCGCCCGGCACGAGTAGCCGTACAAATGCCTGAACGAAGCAGCAGCAGCAGCTGCTGCTGCTTGCCTGCTCAAATGACAATCGGGGCAATAAAAAGGGGTAAAAACGCAAGGCCGAGGGCACTTGCGTTGCCCATCGGCGCGAATAGCCAGGATCGTTGATTCCGCGCTGCCAGTGGATCCCCACGGGTCCCCGTGGGGCCAGGTGGGGCCTCCGGGGCACTCCGGAGGCTCCTACGGGCCTTTAACACACTGTAAGGCAGCCGGTGCATGTCTAAGCTGTGATTCTTCTCTATTCATCTAAAATTAGTGCCTTTTTGCCCCAATCAAGCCAGGGGGGACTAGCAGTTCAGGCCATGCAACAAGTGCTCACTACTAGCAGCGGACCTTTGTGAATTGCAATAGCGTCAAAATACTTGAGGCAGGGGTCCCCCAACAGGCAGCACAAATCCTCGCCAGTCTCCAGAGGTCCTGGGCACACCGGCAGAAGTTGCCGGGGCTGGTGCGGCAAGGAGGCAGCCTGCCTTGAGGTGCAGCAGTACTTGCTGCAGCACGTGTTGCAAGGTACCCCAAGATACATGCATGACAAGTCCCCCTTGGACCTCAGTAGCCAACCCTGAGCACAGACGGAAATACATCGGCCAACTCCAGACAGGTGATGTTACTTCGGCGCCGCACCTCCACCCCCGAACAACACGCGCCCCTGTGTTCCTGGGTGCCCAACAAATAATTGGTGCACCAAGGGAGAAGATGGAAGAATTTAGAGGGGCCATATCCGCGGACAAAAAAGGAAAATAATAATGACGAAGGAACAAGGCAAGCGTCGTCTGCCGCTGCTGCTGACTTGTGCTGCTGCTGCTGACCGGCAACTCACTTTGGCCTGTACGGGCAGTGGTGTGGGCATTGGTGAAGTAAGACTCTGGGTTGGGAGCAGTTGTTTAGTGTGGGCATCCATACCTAATGAAAAATACTGCAGTGAACCGCTGCTGACGCACAACACCAATGCGTACGTGAGACAGGGATCCGGCCAGCCCCAAAAGGAAGTCCAGCCCCGTGATATGGAGAAAAAGTCTTGGCGGCCGTTGCGCGGAGCTAGCCAAAGGTTGAAGGTGGCCGCAGCGAGAAGAACAAGTACTCGAAAGCTGTTAAGCAGGTTGTACCGTTTTAACTAAACCAATTTCGCACGAGGACGGACATCCCGAAACATTGATGAATCTTGGCTAAGGTAGAGTGGAAAATATTGAGCAATAGTGCTATTGCTGTGTTCAGTTTGACCGCCTCAACGCTGGAGATCCTCGGCGGCCTTCTTATGGACAACAGTAAGCAGTGTCACGAGTTTGAGCCAGATGGGGCCAAAAGCCCTCAACCGTTTGTCAGCAACGATGCATATCGTGAAACTATGCGGCTTCCAGGCGTGATTAGTTAATGATTGGGTTGCTCCGTCTGCTGTAACTGAAGTTAAACAAGGGTTGGGGCGGGCTTCTTTTGAGCCACTGTGACCTGCAGTATAGTCAAAATACTTTGGTAAGAGTTTTCCAAAAGCAACTCCATTTCCTTCCAGTCGTCAGGTGGTCTGAGTATGGCAACCGAAGGGCCTGAAGGTGGGTGAGAGGTGGTGGATTGAGACGAGTTGCAACGCATCTCGCTGCAACTAGCGTTACCAGGCAAATTCACGTGGAAGCGCAGTGAAGACACCCTCTCTGCATCTACTGACACTCTACACAATTGTTAAACCATTGCTTGGCCTCTATTGGGCAGCCTCCAACAGGCAAGGCACAGGTGCCAGCTTCGGATCGATCATACTCCCCCATATCTGGTCAGCAAACACTGAGATAGTCTTCAAGCACTGTTTTTGCTGGGGATATAGTGTGGGCCGGGCATGCTAAAAAACGACAGTTGCTACAGGGTGGCGATGCACCAAACAGCTGCTCTCCCGCGTGCCGGCGGGCAGTTCCTGATCAATTTCCATTACTCGAGTGGCACAAAATGCTGAGTCTTTGACAGTTATTCTAGGGAGATAAGCTTTTATTGGCAGATTCTGACCAGTCTCCACTATTCGAGTGGCGAAATGGCTAAATCTTCGGCAACACGGGAGAGATAACAGATGATATATCTTTTTTTGGGGAGAGCGCATTCACGGCTAACCATTGCTAATCACCAGGCCGATCAGATAATAAGTTGGTTTTGTCGGCTCGGGGTTGCCCTTCCTAACCATGCGGCGCTACCAAGTAAAACGAGTTCCCTTGGCCGCACCCGAGCATCGAGATGTGCTGCAGAAGAGTTGAGCCGATTTCACAGAAAGTTCCGCAAAAGCAGCTGGCCTTCCCTTCAGGTTCCAAACGCCCTGGGCAGAGCGGTATAGGGGTCAATGCGTGGAGAGCGAGGAGAGGGCCGGGAGCGCCTTGCCCGAGCCGCAACTCGCGCTAGAGGGCATCCCCAAATGCAACCATAATCAAGACCCCTTTCTGTGTATGCACTAGAATTGTAAGCAACTGCTAAGTTGCTTACCTATCATCCAGTTTCGAGCCTGAGTAGTAGAAGCACCAGGATCAACTTTAGACAACAGGCCCAGGCGGCTGTGTCCATGACGACTGGAAACTGAACTGCCTTTCGAAAACTTAAGCTTTTCTTACTTCGGTACAGCTCACCATAGTTCTCTGCTAAGCCCGAGGACTCTGCCTAGAACCGCCGTACATTAGAGGTACCACGTTCTACACATCCCCTGCTGCTTAGGTCCATAGAACGATTCGATATAAACTGGCAGGTTAGGTACTCGGCTGGATAAGTGTCAACAATGCCGTTTAATACGGACTATACCCGTTTTAGCCCCGGTGTCCACCCCGGCCGTACGACGAGTGCTGGGCCCGACGCCTCAGGAAGCCGGACGAGAGCGATTGAAACATTCCTAAACTATAGATTTGATATTATGGGTGGAAAGGATGAGGCTGTGATGCTTCATAATCCCTGCGGACTCATTGGTTAGGCGCAGGTTTGCGAGTAGCAGTCAACCCCGTAGCATGCAGCCGTGCGGGGAAGTGGCGGCCAGTGCCTTCTTGCTTAGGAAATGAACTCCCGGCTATCTTAATAGGCTGTCTAGTCTTTTAGTATATAATTTGGAAAATTGTCTTTGCCAATTAATCCCCCTTTTGATCTGGATATTCGCAGAGACTAGCCTATGCGCTCGTACGACAGGACGGGGCACTTCGTACAGTAGGCTCTGCTCTCGCTGTCCAGTGGTCATTGTGCAATGCCCCAAAAATGCCGGGGTTCTCCGTTTTTTATAGAGTCAAAATGTGTTTAGAAGTTGGCTGATGCATCCTTTCATGTAACATTGGGCATGTGGACCTATACCACTTGGTGGACAATATACAACGGACCGACAACCGCACACTCGAGCACACAACTGCTGCTGCGACAGCGCTGGTACTTTCCTTCGGCATAGGCGCCGCAAAATATTGTAAAATCATTTAGTAGGATAAGGGAGAGGAATAAGTAGCAGATTGAGATGGGTCAAGATTAGCAGTAATGGCAAGGACGCACCTCTCCCTTACTCATGCACAGCCCCGATGAGTGGCTCATTGCGCCAATGCGTCTTCTTGATCTTCCTTCCCTCCCCCAATCCTTACAACTACTCGTATTTAGTCAATTTTGTTGCACTTCCTGTCTATACTGGATTGACTACAACCCCATGACTACAACCCCACTCCGCAGTGTGCTGACAGGCGTAGAGACAGTGCTGCTAGACAGCACTGCTCTTGGAAGCACAAGAGGGGAGTTTGGAGGGTTTCCACGCCTCTTGATTCGTTCAGACAAGATCTGAATAATCAGGCCGGAGCTGCTGAGGTGGAGTAGATGACGTGCTAGTGCTGCATCACTTCACTCCTTGTGATATTTGGAGTGGAACCGTAGGTGCAGTCTATTTACCTCACGGTTGCCCATGCTGAGGGCTGCACTCTTGTGGTCGACGGGCTTTGTGTCATGGAGCGTCCATTCGAGGAGCAACTGGTTCCAACGATGATTAACGTAGATGCTTCGCGCAACTCCCTCATTCGCAGTGGGACGACATGTGGGTGAATCAGTGGGGATAAGGCTGTACTTCACAGCTACAATACGGCACATTTCGCAGAGGGTGGACGCTGGGGTCTTCAGAACTTATCGTACCCGAAGTTAGTGCCTTTGACTGCACAGACCTGCTTCAGAACAAGGCATGGAACAGCAATTGCAACGGAACAGTCAACTTGAAAGCGCTTTGGGTGCAATACCCAATTCACTCTTCCCTTTATAAGGGTTGAAAGCAAGCAAAAGATGCATGAAGACGAGACTTATTTCCTTGGCGGCGATGCTACTGCGGCGAATCATGTCCCCGCTGCCGTTCTTCTCAATGCTGATAGGGGACTGGGCCGCGGTTTTCTCCTCAAAAGGCTTCGGCCTTCTGTATGGCTGAGTCGAAGTGGACAGGTTGGGCCACTGGGGCTTACGTTTCCTGTAAAAAGACTAATTTTCGTTGCGGGGCTGGCAGTGGCTTTTATTATCCTGAAATGTGCTTTTGGATTGGGTGGCGCCAGTGCCCTACGCGGGCTTCGAAGATCGTTAGGAGAATCCGGGGGCCACTGGCATACGGTAGCATGTGGTGGCTATGAACGAGATCGTGGACCAGTAAAAAATGGAACTGGCATAGATGAATCTGAGCCAGAAGGTGTGACGCATAGCAGAGTTAACGACGTATTCGACCAGTTGGAAGAACTCCAACGCATATGCGCAGCTCTTTCTGTAGGGCGGGGGATTCAATTGCAAACGCAGATCGCTTGCTTCTACTTGCTCGTCAGTTCCCAAGAGCTTGCCGCGGTTTCCGCGATGCTGCCACCCCATCTGGAGACGCGCAGAGTGCAACTCACAAATTCGGGCTCCAGTATGGCCAGCCGCATCCTCCGAAAATATCCTGCTTTCGCAGTCGGCGACAACGCATTTCGGCGAATCAGGAAGCTACTCGAGTTAAACAACCAGCTGTGCAAACTCCCTGATAGATGCACTCTAGGGAGTACGCAGTGCAGGACCAGGCTGCAGCATCTCGGCAGGCTCCAACTTGTGTTCTTGAGTATTATACTTACCCGACTAGAAGGACTGCTCGAATTAGCAAACCAGGGCAGGAGGCCAACCGATCAGGGAGTGTCGGAAGTGCTATCCTCAATGGCTGGGTTGCGACATACACGTCGAGTTCAGATTCTTGTTGATCATGGTCTCGGCCCGTGGGTGGCCGCGTACCTGCGATTGGCGAGCCCTAAACACATCGTGGCAAGAGCAAGAGAACGTCAGATCCTTCTAAATAATAGTTTGACACCCGTCGATGTGCTCGTCAGACAGTTGGAAGAGGCGTCTGCTCACACCGTAGACGCAACAGAACGGCCAAGGCAGCGGATTTCTGTTGGTGTGGGTGCTCCGCGTTGGGACGCTACCGCGCCAGAGTGGCGGCAAATCGCAAGGCCTGGTGTCACGTCCCTTCCGTACCCGGCTCCGATTGCAACTACCAGCTCCGCTGTGCCCCGACGTTCATCCGATATGCTGCGAGATAGTGATTTAAGCCTTGGGGAAGAGGGTGGTTCGAATGCCACACTTCCTCCCCATCACCCTATTTTTGTCCATCCCCCACGAGCGACTTTTTTTGGCCCTTCAAGTCAACCTCTGCCGGAGCCTTCAGGGCGCAGAGACGGGCAGCGTTCTGTCAACCCTTCAAGTTCCTGGTATCCCCCTCGCCAAAGCGTAGTGCATTTCCAAGCAATGCAACCAGCATCAGGTCCTGCAACGGGAACTCAGTCGTTCGCGCCTTTGGGCACCGTACAGTCTGCACCTGACCTGAGCAAGACTGTAAACAGGGGGTTGGTGGACTGCTGGCCAACAAATTCGGGTGAAAGAGTGCCCCGGTTAAGTGCCTTTTCCGTCGTAGCGCAGGGTGAGCAGGAGCCATATGGTACCACTCAACCTCTGGACAGCGGGCACATGCTGCTGAGCGAAGATGCAACATCTGCGCTGAACCTGCAGCTTCCACGATATTCCCATCTACTGCAGGAGGATATGGAACCCGTTAGCACCTCCAACCTGCTCTTCGCAGACACAGAATTAGGGGCTGGCACTTTTGGGTCCCCTGCGTCACGGGGTGGTGCAGGGGATGGTTTGTTGGGAGGGCATTTGAGTGCCCTCCAAACTGAGCGAAAACATCCCGAATGAAGCATGCAAACGGTGGAGTTTGGTTTTTTCCGGGGAACACTATCTTCTGAACCGCCGTATCAAAGCTGGCCTGAAGATTGGTCTGTCACACCAAAGTGAATTGAAGAGACAAGAGCGCTTTGGTGAATCGAGGGGGAAACATTCTGTATGGCAGGGCAACAGAGAGCCACATGTGCAAGTAAACAGTGTGCTCCAGGCGGTGTTGAAGGCGCTACTCCTGCATTGATAGCAACGAGCTGCTGAGCTCAAGGTGCTGTCAAGACAGCAATATTTGTGGAGAAGGGAGTAGTGGACAATACATTTGTTGCGACGCGCAAGGATCCTAGTCTGTGTGTCCTGCGGCGTGGGTGCACGTTACAGCCAACCTTGGATAGGCACTCCAGTGTCTTCCGACAGTAATGAAGGGTGGCTTTGACTCATGTCGTCCCCTGGTAAGTTTCTGTTTTTCTGGTTGGACGCATCAAGTGATTGAAGCACTCTGATTGAAAAGTAGAATAGCACAGAATCTGCATTCCCTACCATCAGCCTGAATATCACAAAGGTAATCTGGTCGCAAGAGCAAGCGAGGACGCAGTTGTGTGTACTAGGAAGAACGCATCATATCAATTCTCGTAGTCATTGGAGTTTGTGCGAATGCATTAAATTGGCGCAATAGTGGGTACGCTTCGTATCCATTTATCATATTAGCGAAGTGGAATTTCAGTGAGGAGATGGACCGCATAGCGCCATGTATGGGGATGCTCCTGCCCAGTTCTGTTGCCGACACCTGGGGTGCACTCTGCCTTGCCTACAGCCAATGGCGTTGCTTTCTAACGACAGCTCCACTGTATCTCGTCGCTCTAAATATAAAGCTACTGGGGGGTCCCTGGGCCTACGGGAGTGCGCCAGAGCGTTCGCTTAGAAAGTGCACAGGAGGCATGAAGCCACCCGATCCGCGGTGGCTTTCACCTTCGTAGAAATGCAGGTACTAACCTCTGAAGCCTATTGGCAGAAATGCTTGAGTGAGCAAAAATATACATGAAACACTTCATCACATGACGCGACTTCGGTCAACTTTGAAAGTTGATCGAACCATTTCGTCCTCTAACCAGCAGCATCAGCATGCAACAGCGTTGAGTAGTTGCTGTCGATGAACGAGCATCACCCTTCATTTGCAGTCTGATGAAGGCATTACAACTGCCGAGATTGTCCTTTTCTGGGAAGCCGTGCTTAGGTATTGTCAGCACCTTGCATGAGCAATATTATTCTACACAAATCCAGCGCGTCTTCGGGTCTTCCGCGCAGCACCTGCGCCGTTTAGGGAACTGGTTCAAAGTTAAACTAGGTTCCCCCTACGGACGAATTTATATTTTTTTTACACTGTTTGCGGTTTGAAATACAGCTTGTTCCCAAGGCGATTCCTAGCCAACAGTTATGGGCCCGTCTCTTTCCTCATTTGCCGGCGAAGGGTTGACCCTCAGACCGAAGTCTACGCATCTTTTTTTATGTTCCGGCCTTTAAACTATTATTCGCCATTTCTTGCATCTATGTGCAACGGAATGTGTGGCCTTGGTGCCTACAGGAAGGAAACTAGCGAGCCCAACCAGGAAGTGTGATACTGCACGATCGACAACGTTGCAGCTTCGCTGCTTCCATCCCCTTAGCTGAGGGCTAAAAATACACGCCGCGGTTTAATTATATATGGCCATGCGCAAGCTGTTCTTGGGGACTTGCTCAAACCGGTTTTGTCACTGTTTAAGCCTTGCCTTGCCTGCTCGGGAATATCGCCGTCATCGAGGTGGCCCGTGAGGGGATAGCCGTTGGAAGCAACACAGCTAAGATGGGGAGAATCCTGACATAATTTCTACAATTGTAGAATTAGGTGACTCAACTTCTCTCTTTCCTGCGTCCCAGGGGAGAGAGAAATGGGTTGGTTTATCGCGACGGCACTCGGCGGTCTGCAATGCTTCAAGACTGCTTTTTCCCCGGGGTTTGCTGATCCCCGCAGCTGACCAAATAGATAAAACGATTAATTAGAGAAGGAAGGCACGAAATGTATTTTGCTTACATTGTTGGGGGCACGAAACAGATAAGTGAAGCGGCGGTGCCTTGCGGCCGGCGGTCGGCACTGTACATGGCCGCGCGTTCGCTCGCACGACAACGACTGCTGTGTGAGAATTTCTTAGCCAGATGAAACCCTGCAATTAATATGTATTATTGTGATACGAAGATTATAATTAATGTAAAGCTCACGGAGGGTGTATTGGTGGAGGATCAGTTGACTGTGTATCCCAACCATACCCGCCCGCCTACCCGCCTCCGGTCGCAAGACCTCAACCTACCTGCTGCTGCCGCAAGGTACTGCAAGGCTCAAGCTGGCGCCTAGAGTTTGCGTATTTCGTCATTCATCTCAAATACTATGTCTGATTGTTTTTTGTGTTTTCTCGTTGAGTAATTCATGTTTCCATTTGTGCGTGGCTTTAGGACCTCCGGCTGGCTGGACCTCAAGCACTTGTTCTGGCCGAGCAAGCTTTCACTGAGTCATCTTCTGTGGCCCTGTGTTGGTTGACTTGCCCGTACATCTTCCAGCTTACACTTTAATCTTCTCTTTATTGTTATACTTTTCTCTTTGCCTCCTTTTCTTGTATTCGCCATGGAGGTTCCCGGAGTGAGAACTCGCCTGTCTTCGGCCTCCGCAGACTTCGACCTCGAAACTGCATCCGGGAAATCATATTCCCATGACGAACCGAAAGAGAGGACTCCACTTGATTATCTTAAAAAGGTAAGCTGAAAATTCATTCAGTCGCCCGTTTTGGCCTTGCCTTGCTTGACGGTGTATAGCGCCGTAAGCGCCGTCGTGGTGGTCAGCGCACAGGATGGCCATTAGAGGCGGACTGGTGGCGAACCCTGCCCTAATTCGTACGCTCATAAAATCATTTGGCCACAGTCCTCTCTCTCCCGTGTCTCAGGCTAGCCGCCTTTGGCTTGCGCTCGCAGCGCTGGTGCTCCTCGTGTTTTTTTGCCTCTCGTCGTCGGTGTTCAACCGCTCGCCTAGCAGCTCCCAGCAGTATAACCTCCACCAAACAGCTTCTTCTGATAATTTGGGGACGGGACCCTCTCTTGTAGGTCAGCGCATGACCACCTTGGGCCGTGTGCACTCGCCGTTGGCAGTCCCTCCGCACTCCCACAACACCCGACACCTTCCTCATCACCATGCAGCACAAGCAGCAGCACGAACAAAATACAGCAATGACGTGATAGGAGAGGAGCAGCAGGGAGAGCAGGAGCAATGGGATGAGGAGGAGACAGACGACGGAGACCTCGAGTACGCAGAAGAGGAAGAAGAGTCACACTCAGACGGCGAATATCTAACAGAAGCCCATCTCGAAAACCTTCATAGTGAAGATGTCGATGAAGGGAAGCAACACCCAGACGAACCCGAATACATCGACATATGGGTGAGCGTCAAGAGCAAATTATGCCTATCTCGAGCATCAGTTGCAGTATGAACAGCGCCGACAGCGCACTCTTTCATGTAGCAAACGAATTAGATCGGACTTTCCCCTCCAGGTAAAAAACTTCGTATACGTTTACCCTGAAACAATGCACCACACTACTATCGCATATCGTTGTCACTGGTTTTCTTTTGCTGCACCCGCATAGGACGGAGTGTCCCACGAAGACCTGCATCTCTCGGAGGGTGTGCCTGGGTTGAAAACGCCCCTATATCGCCTCCCATTTGTTGACGGACAGCATAACGACACACATATTATCGGCGTACATACGAAGAAGGTCTATTTACCCCGCTTTCTAAGCGTCAGCGGAGGAAAGAGACTTCCAGCAATTTCCGGCACCTATAAGATGTACATGATCAAAGACGGGAGGCCCAAGCCGCACCTCAACCACGGCAGACTCATTTGGCAAAAGGTGGGCATACCGTTGTGTTAAGAAAGCCTAAGCCATACCTAATGATCCACTCAGGGAGACAGGAAATAGTTCCACCACAGAGACAGGCGGCACCTTTGCAAATGTTCCTATTATCTCCCCTGACTTTGCATCTCTCTGCTTTATCGTATATTATATACACTCGAATGCACATCAAGTTGCTCTTTTACTGGAAATTTGCATTTAGGAGGGGCAGGATTCATCAATTTTTTTGTACTACGATCACATGCACCACACTTGGGTGTTCAACAACGAGCTGGACTTGAGCAGGCCACAGCCTTTGGCGTTCCTTGCCCATGGCGCCATTTTACCCATTAGCAGGAGAAACGACCGAACTTTCAGAAAGTACGGGGCCCCGAAAAGCGTACACTGGATAGTAAGAGACGCGTCAAGTGGAAGCTCTAGACCAGACGGCACCGTCAAAGTTGACGGTAAGAGCATCCAACTGCACGTAAACCCAGGGACGCCTGTTCAGTTGATATAGGCAGACGCCATGCACTTCTTTGTACCCAGACGCATGCGGGAAGGTTTCACTGAGCGGAAAATGGCGCAGGCATGACACCAACAGAGAGAGAGAACTCTGGAATGACCCCTATCTGCAAAGATGATTTAAGACCACTCCTTGTCATTCTCGCGTTTGATTTTGCGGTTGGTTTCGGTTTCAATATTCTCTTAAGATTGAATTGAAAGGGGCAGCAATTATGGTGTTTTTGCCTGCCTGCCCTCAGCCGACCCACGACGCAGCGGAGACGAAGACCTGCAAACGCTTCTGCTGCAGAAGGTGTACCATGCACCTGAAGATGGGTCTCTTGATGGTGAGGGGGAAGTTGACGACTTTGAACTCTTTGAAGAGGAGCACGAAGAGGAGGAGGACGAAGAGGAGGAGCTGCCTCTAGATGAACACGGCGAGCCCATTGCCCTGCCCTTGGGGGCCCGTAGCTTCCAGCAGTTCATTACGCACTTGAAGACAAATGTCTATCACACATTTGACTCATTACATCCGCGGTATGATCACCAAGAAATACTCAAGGATCCCGTCACGTTCGTCGAAGCCAACGCTCATCCGGACTTAGTGGGACCCGAAAGGCTTGACGGTTACTCCCACGACCCTGTCCCCCACCCACTAAGGAAGTCGATTCACAACGAAGAGCACTGAGCTCGTAGCTCGCTCGGTATATAGCTGCGCAAAGTATGCCTGTTAGCTTCAGCGAAGCCCCAGCAGGCTGCTGCATTTGGCGCAGTGCTTTTACATCCACTGCCTCTTAGGCTGGGGACTACTTTATTCAGGCCCCCACACCCCGGAACGGAAATCTGTTTTGCTAGCGGTTGGGAGTCTTAGTGATTTGAATCTCATTCAGATGGGATCGTTTCAAATTTTGGTTTTAAATGCAACACTTGCGGTGCAGTACTCTAAGATTTGGCCTTTGCACGTCACTGAATGGATACAGCGAAGCACGGCATAACTTAGAACAACCAAACGAATTCAGATTGAAAGTTCCAGCTTCCGTAGCTAGCATGGCAAAAGCCACGGACGCAACAAGCCGCCAGCTGGCAACCTACCCGAACACCTAGCAGCAAAACGAATGACTTCCCTTGTCAATTTGTTCTTTTGGTGGGCCGTAAAAAATCCTAGCAGTCCACTACTGAAACGCTTCCTCTGGTTAAGCAGCTAGTTAGCTAAATAAATTTAGCAGCAAGCCGAGCCTGCTAGAGTGATATGTTTACTGCAGGTGCGGCTGAGCCCTCTTCGTCCAAGAGGAAGCATAAGAACAGCAGCTATGTTACTACTGTTGCTGCTGCCGCAGTTCCTTACATCCTGAACGAGACATCAACAGTGATGTGACCATCCCTAGCAGCTTCTGTAGCGCTGCTTCGTTAGATAAAGGAAGGGCCCTCGCATAGGGGTCATTCCGATGGTCCGGGGTCGACTTGTTGCTGGCACTCTGGTTATGTACTTGCTGTTGCTGCTGGTTTTGTTGGCTTTGCTTCTGTCTACGCTGTTGAGGGCACGACAACCCCTTTCGGGGAGACTTAGTCGTTCGGGTGACCCTGCGAACACTTTCGGGGTTGGTGGGAACGGGTGACTCTGGGAAGGCAGCAGAGGGGACTCCTTGAAGCAGCAGTTCGTGCTGAAGATGGTTGTGCAGATGCTGTCGCATCAGATCACGCTGCTGCAGCATGGTTGTATGCACAGGAGCTCGGCTTCCATCGTGCTCCATAGGAAGGCACAGCAACGGCCTCACCGCCGATCCTCCTAGAGCCCCAAGGGATCCTGGGACCCAAGGGACTCCAGTTTTGGTTGCTGGTCCTGTAGTTCCAGGCCCAGTAGATCCCCAATAGCCCGTCAGTAAGCCGCACTGGTCAAGCTGCTGAAAGGGTCCAGCCGCGATTGGGGGGCCTCGCGGGGTGGGTAGGAGAGGCGGCCCCGAGGGTGTAACCCTGGGCAGGGGCAGAAGGGGCCCCGCATTAGCAAATCCATCCCAGGAGCTCCCCACACAGCCGGACTGCTGTGTCCTCTTTGGCTGTTCCTGTGGGCCTCGCCGGTGCTGTAGAGGACCCTCTTGCCGACGAGGGAGAGGTGGAGGGGGAGGCGCAAAGAGAAAGTCATGATGTGGGCGCCTGGGAAAACAAGGGGCCACTGCTGTTCCCAAAACTGGGGATGAGAAAGCAGGAGGGATAGCTACTCCCCCCGTAGCAGGGGAAGCGCTGGGAGAGAATGGTATCGATGGCTCATCTTGACTGCGTTGTAGCTGTTGCTGCTGTAACATTAGGTTAAAAGCCTTGTACGGCGGCTGCAGCAGCAGAGACTGCCTCCTGAGACCCAGCATAACGGATGGAGAATATTGGCACTTCCTTGGAAAGGCTTCTACCACCGCTTTCGCTGGAGCCGCACTTCTCGCGGGAGCCGACTGCGACCGAGGCCTCCACGGTGTGCCTTGCAGTACCTGATGCTGCTTTTGGTGATGCTTGTTTTGTTGCTGTTGCCTGCTTTCTTCCTCTTGCAAGGCAGGAAATGCATCCCACGAATACCCTGGAATCGCCACAAGTGGAGCCCTCTGCATGGTAGCGGATGACGACTTTTTGCATCTCTGCTGCTTTCCCGCACACTGGGCGGCTCCAGGCGGGTGTTTGGGGCTCCCTTGGGGGCCAACACGAGACCCCTCAAACGCCTCTAGAGTCTGTAGGGGACTGGTGGAGGCAATTTCCTTAGCTCCTTCCGTTGCTGTGCTTGGTCCTGCTGGTGCATGTGGCGCGTCTGCCACTGCCACTGCTGCTGGTGCGGTTTGGCCTTCAAGAGAACCCTCTGCACTTAGGGTGGATTTGAGGGCACTGTATCCCAAAAACGTCCTCGACGCTGGAAGGGGAGCTCTTGGAACAAAGGGGGCAGCGTAGGGGTTAAGGGTTTTCGTTCTGCAAGTACACGATGGCGCAGTGAAATAACAGGATATGCAAGGGGGAAGCATACTAGGAGAGCCATGCAGACTAACCTCATAATGACAGAATGACAAAATTCGATTTACTTAAGAGGGTATCTTGCTGCGCAGTTGGGGGATAGATTCCCGCACAAGGTCGTATCGTCCTCGCTGCAGGTAATTACATGTTGCACTAAACACTGCATGCACTACTATCAGAAGGTATGTGTCCCTGCATGCACCCCAAGGCCTTCCTGGAGAGATATTAAGCCTTTCTTATTCTGGACTTCGCGCTTAGAGTCTGCCCGCTAGGAGATGTACAGAGTAAGAACACATTATTGTTGAGAATGATGTTTGGCTTGTCTTGCCTCGGCTTTAAGCAGCGCTCTGAGCCCTCACCACAAACGGAGGCAGCCTGCAATGGAAACATAACATATCGAAGGGCAGGGTGGTTGGATGCCGTATGGAATGTGTGGTGGGCACTACTCTGAAGCAAGAGGCAGACAGTAGTTCGTTCATTATTTGAGAACCTGTAGGGGATTTTATACTTTAAATTGCTAGGTGTTAGGGCTCAGAGGGGCTTTTCAATGTTTACAGCGATGGTGGCCTCGGATGGGACGGTGGTGTCAAGGCCTAGAGTGGACCCTTCGCTGGGGCATTCGATTCCAGAAGCAATGCCAGCGGCGATCATATGGCCTTTTTCTTTTGCGGTGAACACAAACCGGCGGAAGGCACAGATAAGTGAGTGCCGCTCCCTGACGCCATCTTCCTGAGCGATTTAGAACACAATTTTCACAGTTAAGGGGCTCTGTGCAAAACACAAATACGACGAGGGAAGCCGAAAACCATCCTTCACACGGAGGGCCTTATGGTTTTGCTCTGAGGCCTTACTGTTGCCGAAGGAAGTGCACCTATTGTTTTTGCTTTCTAGTGCGCGTTTACATGATTGGCTATATGCACAATCCAACTGCTGGCTAGCGCCGTGGCCCAAGGGAGAGCGCGATCAACGGACCCCCAGGAAGGCCCCGGCCAATAGGGATCTGCATGAGCCCTGTCTGCAGTGGCAGAGCCCCCTAATGCGGTGTTTGCAGGTGTTTTTGCTCTTGTCTTTGGCGTTGCCCTCGCTGCTGTGGCTGCCCCTTTAGATGCCCCATTCTCTCCAGCAGAAAACCCGCTGCGGAAAGCAATTCAACCAACAGAGTAAAGGGTAATTCAGAGAAGTCAGGCAGCCTCCCGGCATGTGCATTCCCTGAGTGATTCCTCGTGTTCTTTACTGTACAGGTGGTGATTTAGGGGCTACTGTGATTCTGCTGAGCTATGAATGCTACAACCCACCGCTGTTTCAGGGCGAAGAGAGGCAAAGAGTCAAGGAGTTTCTCGAACTGCTTGTGACCAGGTGCCTCCTTTACAGCAGCACAGAGGCATCCGTAGAGCCGAACTGAATACAGGAAAACAACAGCTATCTTAACCTGCTAGCTACAATCGAAGAATATGTGCATGCGCTCTCAGCGTCTAGTTGTCTTCAGGCGGAGCCTCACGGCGCCCGCAGCACACAGCAGTTGGGGCCTCTTCAGTCTCTTCAGTCATCTGAAAGCTTGGGTAGCCCCCTGAGCATCCCCTATCTGTTTTTTGCGTTCGCTAAATACCTATAGAGGCTGCAAGCAAGAAGCACACATGGTTGGTGACTGACTCGTATCAAAGTCGAAAGCCTTGAAGATACAGAGGACGTCATGCGCTAGTTGATTCTCCAGCGGCGCCCTCGGGTCAGCCTTAAAGCAAAGGAGGGATCCGCAAGAAGAAATGAGTTGAACAATGCAGGAGCCTGCCGCTGCAGGCTCTGCTGTCTGGCTTGTAGGGCTCGCAACCGCCGATGAGGAGTACCCTGCCGGCAGCGTTTCGCCTAACTTGCCGCGTCGGGCGGCCTCCTCCGGGGCAGCTAAGCCGCTTGATGCTCCCCACTCTGCACAGAATGAGACCGTTGAGCTCGACAAACAGACCTGAAGCGGCCGGAGCGGAGAGGCCTCCCTACGCGTTACACGTACGTGCAGCTTCGGGGGCCCTTGGCACTCTCTGATCAGGGGCAAATATAGCACAACGCTCTCCGGCTTGAGGCCAAGCGCTGGCCCTTCACGAGACCCTGGCTGCAGACCCACTGTTACCGAAAGGCCGCGGACTAAAAGATCTTCCAGAAGGCTATGCAGAGTTTTGTGGCTCTCGGGGCCTCGTGAGGCACGTGCAGCGCGGGCAGCCGGGGCGTGTCCGCTTTTGAGTGTCAGGTGAGCAACTCTCTTGACTGTTTCATGGACAGGCAGCTCGAAGTTTGGGGCCTTAAAGCCAAGACAGTCCACGGAAGGGGCCTTGGAGGGCCCCCGAATATAATGAAGCATTACGGTCCTATCGACACGCAGCACCGAAGAGGCTGTGCGTCTTTAAGTCTGTAGCAAGAGGCTCATATGCACCGTACGCGCTCTCCTGGAGCTACACCGTACTCAAACCTGTTGCCATCTGCTAGCCATGGGTATGCAGCACCGAGGGTCTACAACTGCCGTGGAAGAGTACCCGAGGAATTCCCAAAGGAAGACCCGTGTCTAGTGCTAATTCACGCTTGATATCGGCAAGGATGCCCTCTCAACATCAATATTAATACGTAGTCCACAGTACTATTGCTACAAAGGAGGACTGGGCGAATCTACCCGGCTACGGCCGAACGCTTGTGGGCGTTCACGGGGTACTTTTGGCTGCGAGAAAGCTCAGCGTAATGAGTTTTTTCGCCCCTTTCCCCTACTATTTACTGCAAATCAATGTTACTGGATTTCAGCAGAGAAGGGCGACTCAGCGCCAAAGGAGGAAAACGGCCCCACCGCTCGGTTGCACCCCGTCCCCTGAAGGCTGGCCGCGGCGATGCTCACTGAAACTTCTTGTGGGCAGTGAAACTTTCTAGGTAGCAGAAATATTTATTTAAGCTAACTGTAAACTGATAGAATAAAAATGGAGGCTAAATCATTTTGACTGAACTCCACCTTACTGCACAGATCGTCTCACACCAAAGCCCCGCCATACCACCGCCCGCAGTTCCGAGCAGCCACGGACAAGGACGCCACAGGACTCCTGCTTCACTACACATAAAAGCAAATTCGACTGTTACTTAACCCGAACTCATCAAATGTATTTCGCCTAAGAGAACTATTCCGCAACCGCCACCCCCACTGAATTTCCTCCACCAGACCGCCCCACAACTCTCTCCAGAGTGACCCCTGCTGCATAAACCTCGGGAGCAGCCCCTAAAGCAACTCCCAGGGTGGTTACCCCACCTGTAAATATATAGGGACTCAGCGGAGAAAGTATGCTGCTCCTGCAACTCTTGAGTCAACTCAACGCGGTGTCCGCACACACGGAACTGTCAACAAATATCCCCAAATTTCGCATTTGGTGCTGCACAACTTTCAATTTTCCGGCCTCCGAGTTCCTTCTGTAGTACACGTCGCAGTGCCAGGCCTGGATACAGCTTTCTGCGCATAGGCGAGAGCCTGCGGGTAGTATGCAAACAACGCACTTTGGCACACGGCACTCTTGACAACATGCTGCCTATTTCCTGTTATTTTACGTTTCGCACGAAATGGACCATGGACTGGGCTTCTCCGGGTACACCGAGACGATTCATGCACGAGATTCAGAACAAGGCTTTCTTAAACAGAGAGGCCCTATTTCGCCCTTGATACATACGAACATAGGTGCAAATGGGGAAACATTGACACAAAGGCATTCAGCCACATCCTCAGAAACAAAATCGGTGGATGGATATGGCCGGGCTGCAAATGTGAACCCTTCCCTATATATCACGTTAACATGTAAGGCATGACGTACATGCCCGACGGTAGCAAGCGCAGGGGCGCATTTGCCGTAACCCGAGTTTCGCTGCTCACCTGCACAGTGTCTGCACAAGTCCGCTGCAGCCGCCAGTCTGCGTTCAACTTTGTTGAGTCGCTGGTACAAACGGAGGCAAACGACAGCGGGGTTGCTGCTGCATTCCTTGCAGACGGGAGGAGGCGCTAAAACAGCTTCGCTCTTCGTCAGATCTGTAGTAGTTCCCATTCGCCTCCGACTCTGCAGCAACCCTTGTTGGTGAGGTGGCTCTTCTTCACTGCCGCTGCTGCTGGGGCTGGTGAAGCCTGACTGCAGCAGCTCCTGCACCAGTTTCCTACGGACAGTCGCTTCGTCAGCTTCTTCTGCGTTGGTGCGCATTTCTTTTTCCCGCTTGTTCGTTTGTGCAAGTCTTCTAACTTTCCTAGAGGTGGAGTGCAAAGAAAGCGGCCCCAACTCTCTACACCTGCTGCCACAGAATAAACACGAAGCACCTGCAAAAAAGCGTTGCAGCACCAGCCGTTCCCTGGCTGTGCCGCCCGCTGTTAGAGACCTTATTCCGAGCTGCTTCAACAAAGACTGCTGCTGCTGTTTCAGCAGCTGTTGCTGTTGCTGATGAGGCGCCAGCGTTGAACGGCAAGCCATCGCGGTCGTGAGTGGCTGCGCAGGCTTCGGCATGTCTCTGAACCACTGCAGCAGATCTGCACGCCCTGGAGGGGGCAACAGGGAGAAAAGCCTGTCAATAGCGGGAATGATTTGCTTGGTGATGTAGTAGCGGTAGTGAAGGTGCACAACTGGATGCTGTTCTTGCTGTTGTTGCTGTTGATGTTGTTGCAGCAAGTCTTCTTCTGGTTGCTGCAGCAGCGCTAAGGGCCTCATATAGGCATGCACCCTACCCCGCAACAGGGCCTGCAACTCCATGGGATCCCGGCGCCCCCCCCAAACATTGTCGGGGGACGTGGCGCAGTCGATGAGCCTCGACGTGCTCGCCTTGAGCCCAGTGCCTGCTGATCCTAGCGGCACGTCCGCGTCCCCTGCTACTTGGGAAAACACGAAGGGTACGCGCATGCCGTAGCAGTCAGTAGCGGCGGCTGCTCCTCCTCCCTGTCCCTGGTGATGCAGCCGCTCATACAAAACTTTAGCTTGAGGAGGGAGGGTTCCCGCAGGTGCCTCCCCCGTCTCCGCGCGGTATGTGCCTGAGACATGCTTTCATGCGTAAGTGCCACTGTAATGATCCCAAGTATATTCAGGAAAAACAACCTCTGGGGAGAGACACTTTAGACGTGCATATTTACACACGTAAGCCTAGAGACGCAGCCAACGCTTTTGTGCCTGCCTGTGCGCTATTCTGTATCAAGTAGCTTAGGCAGTTGATTTGACGCCTTTTGTTGCACCAGCATAACTGCATGCACTGACCTGCACAGAATGAAATGTACAAGGTCTGTTCCTTACCAAGTTTGGCCCTTCTATGAAAAATGTAATGTCGGATGGGTATTTGGCCTCGTAACATCTTACTCCACTGTCTGTACAGCTGAGAAGACAAACCACCCTACCACACTGCAAATGCGTTTGCTGAGCGGTTGCAAATACCAGCAGCTGCAACAGCAAGTTAAGCGTACATGCAGAGGCACACAATGATTACAGCAGATTCACATGCGTATTTTAGAATGCCCGGGGCGCGCTGTTGCCAGCGAGATTATTTCCAGTCCCCAATTCAACGAGGAACACATGCGGGCAAGCGTACCATAATAATGCGCAAATGCAACATTGATAAATGGTGCACTTGCCTATGCTATATATATATATATTTCCCTCCACGCACTCTCACAACGGTATCTACATTCGCGGTGAAGCCAGGGGAATGCTTAGACTTAAATTCACAAAGGCCGAAAAGATGACAGCAGCAGGACGAACCAGTTCCTTGACTTTGGAAAGGTCTCGCGTTTGGAAGAAGACACGCAAGCTTTTCTCCAACAGGGCCGATGTCAGAGGACACTGGTCTCTGCGGATGGTCTCTATGCCCTGCCATTGGTGGGCATACACAGGAAAGGACGAGTGGACTGAGTTCGGCAGTAAATACATAACGCGTTTCACGTATACCGACGCAAACACAAACAAGACCCTAGGACGCATAAACCTACCTTTGCGTCAAATGTCGGCGGCCCGCAGGGGGAGAAGTAGGCGTTGCCCACATATCTCTTTTTGGTAATCAGACAGCAAGGCAGATAGACCTGAGCACGGCGTACACCTTAACATTCATGCGATGTGCACACACTAAGCATTGTGTATGCCAACCCCTGAGGGATGCCGTCACATGCAAGCTACCACTGAATGCCCGCAGGCGTGCTGTCTTGGAGTTGATTTCTGAGCTGAGACAAGTTGAGACGCAAGGCTCCATTCGGGACACCATCAACATACACACAGTAATACAGCATGACTAACAACATATTCTACACCTCCAACGGACCGACTGCCGCATTTGGCGCCGGAACTACTGCCATTCGGGAGGGCAGCTGTAACCTGTAGGCTAACTAAGCTGGTGCTACCTTTTCGAGCTGCAGTGTAATGGGGGCCGGATTGCTCCTCGTGACAGCTTCTGCGATCTCCTTGCCAATGGCAAATGCAGCCTCCAACGACCGCCCCTTTAATAACACAAACATTGAGTCCGTGTCCCCGTAGAGCACGCGAGCGCCCCATCTGAAATGCGTTGCACAATACCATCAGCAACCACAGACACTCCTACTTTGTTGAGGCTTCTATACTCCATATCACAATGAAGATACGCCAAACAAACGTCCCACACATCCAAAAAGGGCAACTGATGTGCAGCAGCGACACTTGCAAAGCTCAACACAACTCCGCCAGATTTGCCATCACGCGAAAGGAATAAGCTTGTACAGTTCCTCCAATGAATACGGTTGAGCGGGAATTTGTTACGGCACAGAGCAACAGGCATAGCTTTTAGAGGTCGGCTGATGAATCTAAATACCCAAAGGTGCATCGGAGCTTGTACGTTTGCACATAACCTGAGATATTTGGCAGCTGTAGTCTTTGTGTGCAAATCAAACCTTGTGAATAAACTGTTCCCCTGCGCATGAGTGAATCGCTTTACGGAAAAGACACTTTTCCCCGTGCAGGATTCAACGCCTGTGAATATGGCTTTCTGCGCGACGTTTCACTCATGCGTGAATGGGACAGACTGTCCTATGCATGCGTTTCCTGTTTCCTTACTTTTGGGTTTGCTCGATGAGTTGCATGGCTCGGATCAAAGTGGCCCGTGCTGTCTCAACGATCGCATCCGCTACATCTGCGCAGGGCATCCGCCCGCTCACGTTTGCATTGGTGTATCTGCAGCGCTCAAAACAATTCACACAGTCTTGTAGCCACACCTAAACATCCGAAACCCTAATCCTAAACGGAATCACTGAGCTCCCCAAATTACCACTAGGGCCAAGACGCGCACAGTCATAATCCGCCAACGCATCTACCCAACAAGATTTGTTGGGTATACCTGTGCTACAAGCATGCGACGACGTATCAGTGTGTGCACGGCTTAGCAGGAAGAAGCAAAGCAAACGGGCGAATATGTCGGGAAAAAATGGGGTCCTAATTTTGCAGAAGCCCACAAGTGAAAGCGTGGGCATAAGGATAAATGCGTGAGCGCATTTCAGCTCCAGAATAAAAGCTACGTGTATTCATGCTAACCCTCTCCTATGTACGTGCATGCCTTTGCCCACACGCTTGCAGGCTCATGCGTGTGCAGGCACCCGTGTGGGAAATGGTACCCGTAAGTGACGTTAGCAATCATCTTCAGACCAAACTGGCGATATTCTAATTTCCTCAAGAGCGCCTGGTCCGCGAAGCCTCCTCCTGCATGACATCCCAGCAGGAGAGCCTCGGACGTAGTGATTTCTCCGCGTTGTCTACTACACTTCCGCATACAGCACGAACTCAGCCTTGCGTAAGGGCAGAATTGAGGCACAGGCATATTCTCCTCGTACATACGAGTATACTCGCTCATCCAGTGGTTAGCGGAGGGGCAATCAGGTACTGCCCCTCCGTTGTCACTGGAGATGGGAGCCTGCTCTTAGCAGGGGGAGTCCGTGACCTAGGGTGCTATGACATTCAGAAAAACCGATTACGGATTTTTGCAAGCAAATAAATACACCGCAAGTAGCTGCACTACTACCTAGACAACTACACACGAATGAATCGTGTGTGCTGTCTACAACTAGGCACCCTCGTTAGTGGCGCATCTACGCCGAGCTTTTAGCTGGGGCGTTACCTTTATATCGCTTGGCTGCCTGCTTCACCATGAGACGCGTCTGCAAGATGTCATTTAGGAGCGTCGGCAATATGCCCTGTCTCGCACGCACAACGGGAAGTCAAATGCCATGTATCCGGCGGTCAGCAGCAATTCAAAGTGCACACTCCACATCGTCCTGGGAACGGCGTTATGGAGGCTTTCCCTGCTTTGTAACATATCGCCCGCAGGCTAAAGCGACTTTTTAGTGTTTCGCTCTCAGGCATTAGGGTTCTATTCTGGATCCTCAGCTGTTAACTGTACACGTGCAAATATATATATGATAGCTGACCTGACGGACGCGGCGTGAAACGAAGATACAACCTCCTGGCAGTACCCTCATAGGATCTTCTCCAGGAGCCCCGGGGCTGGGCCACGATGACGCTGCGCACGCAAACTGACAAGGAGTTGGGCAATGTGGTTAGAAGACACGGCGTAGATATGCAGAAAATTTGTGCCGAACTTCCTTGATGTGGCGAAAACGCAAAACAGTGAAAGGCGTAGACGCGAGAAAAGAAAAAGGAAAGAGAAGAAAGGGAGGGATATTTCGTTCTCAAAAGAGATTCCAGAAGAACACGGAGGTATGCACGTAAAACTCAAACAGAAGGCGTGCCGAAGTATGCAGAGTTCACGAGCAGATGCCTGCAGTGTTGATACACAGGAAGCAGCAAATGCTCTCCCTTCCCTGTGCACACACGCAAGGGTGTCCTCACACCGCACCGGTGCACAGATGTTCCATTGTCGCAGCTTCCGGCTTACGTCCTGCATCAGTGGCTTCTGCATGCGCTTGCATGACTTGTGCGAAGATTTGGGGAGGCGCATGGACTGTCAACACACCCAACGTCTTCGTCTCAGACTCCAGAGGATCCACCTGATCGCAAACCCTGACGTGAACCGTGCTCCCACACCGTAAGTCCTAAACCCAAACACCGTACGCCTCGGTGCGAGCGCGTCCAACATATCCCACACCTAAATTATTCGCTCCAAGCTCTTGTGCAACATCTTGGAGTATCGTCGACGTTATTTACTGCTAGACGAAAAGCTGACCTCAACAGAGCCTAGACATGTGGAATAGCAAATGTTGTTAGCAATTACAATGGAGGGGTAGAGCGAAAGAAAGTCCAACACCAAAACCGGAGAAAAATAAAACCCTGAGAGAGGCTCAAGAACCAAAGGCACCCCGACAGTGGCCGGTTGCTCCGAGACCTGCAGAGCAAACAAGTCCTCACGCTTAGCCCCATGCGAACCGCTCCTCTAAGATAGGTCTGTTCTGGAACCAAACACTGAACACTCGTCTAAACCGTACCCAAACCAAATTCAAATTTGGCTATTCTTCAGCCAAATATCAACCCCGCTGCAAACCTCTACTGCGCAGTACCATGAATTACAGCTCTGTTGTGTCAAAACCCGAAACAACCAACGAGTATGCTACAAGCCACTGAAATGATTCGCTGTATTCATCAGGTGGATGATCCGTGCCTGTTGTTTGGATGGAGAGACAAGGACGCAGTTAAGCCTTTTGGTCGCCCTGAGGAGGATATTTTCCACTTTGAACTGACTGCCGCGTGTCAGGGCCGAATGCAGGGAGCAGCCGTAAAGCCTCGCGAGTTCGCATGTGCGGGGCAGCACTTCACTGCTGTCCACGAGGCGGAGACAGAGCCGCACCCTGTGTAGGAGAGAAGCAGATACGGGCAGACATATTGCCTCCAAATGCCGTGCTGGCTGTCGTACGCTACAAGCATACAGAAGCTACTTACAATGTAATCATATGCTTTGGTTGGCATACCTATTCATGACGTGTGACAATATATTGGCTATCGACTGAAGAGCCCACAAATCTCCCTTCTCCTGCTGCTGCTGCTGGATCAATTTCCTCCTTCGCGCCTGCTGTGCCTGCTGCCATATGGCTGCAATGATGGACGGGGGAATTGAGGGGGAGATGATCCCCAAAACATCTGCTGCAACCCCATTCAGGTCGGAATGTTGGAGCTTCATTTCCTTCTGTAGCACACGCCAGCCCTCAAGCACCAGACGGCCACACACGGCAGTGCTTCCTCGCACCCATCGTCTCCTTCGTCGCACGTCCGACCTCCCGCCAACCGCCGTGATCGCCCCAGGTGCCGAGGCGGCTCCAGCGGTTCCTGGAGTCCCTGCGGTCTTTCTAGGCTCAGCACCGCCCGCGCTGGGGGCCCCCGAGCAGGCGGGCGCAGAAGATATGTCATCCGCCCTGCGCAGCAAAGTAGAATGGGTTGAGTTTCCTACCTGCTATTCGTGGATGAGTCCCGTTGCAGGAGCTAGTCGTTGGCTCCCTGGTGTGGCGTTTTTCACTTTTGTGCAGACCCCTACACCTTTTCTGACCTCTAGAATTTGTGTACTTCACTATCAGCTGTAGGGCTGCCCTGTGGCTGTTGCCCATGCGCCTCTATGACCTCTAGAATTTGTGTATTTCACTATCAGCTGTAGGGCTGCCCTGTGGCTGTTGCCCATGCGCCTCTATTTGGCGCTTTATCACTTGCCATCCTGTCGGTCTGCCTGTTGCTCCGTCTACCGCTCTGCAGGTGCTTCAAGCTGCATTTCGCTTCACAGCCTTTGCCCCTGTTTATTGTGTCACCTGGCTCGCCGTATCTCCTGCCTCACCTGCGGCTGCATCTCAGTCTAAACAGATGGCCTATGCCCAGGGCAGCCGCACGTTTGCATAGAAAGTTGAAGCCCCGACCCCCCTCTTCCCACTGCAGTAGCAGGGACGGGTCTGCTGCGGCGACGACGCTGCAGAACTGCAGCAGTAAATCTTTCTCGCTACTGACGACGCACCGCCACCAATGCCTATCTACGCAGCTGTCGATACATCCAAACATGCGGCTCTCGGCAGGCCTCCTAGAGACCCCAAGAGACAATGGAGTACGCCAGCAAGAAATCCCGGTGGGCCCGATGGGGTCGTATATGATAACGCCACTTACGTCGGAGTACACCAATTCCTGTTGCTGCTGCTGCTGGTGTTGCTGTTGAAACCTCGCTGCGCAGAGTTGCAGCCTTTCATCGCGTAAGACAAAGCAAATAGCCAAGACAGCACAGGTCCAAGGGTTGGGTGTTGCTGCTGCTGCTGCTGCTTCCGTTGCTGCCATAACTGGGCATTCTGTGATGATTTCTAGCGCGAGCAGCGCACCATAGGTTGCAGTCTTGGCCTCCGTGTGGGCCCCCCGGGCCCACTCACGGGCCTTCGTCCCCTCTTCGCTCTGGCTAAAGAGGCCCTTTTTAGCTTTCAGTACATCTGAAGCAACGCTCACTTGAGAACCTTGCCCGCGCTGGCTACTGCTGCTGCTACTTTGAGATGTGGCAGCATCCGTAAACTCTTCTTTCTGCTGCTGCTGCGGCAGCTGCGCGGCCACGTAGCTTACAATCCTCCCGCTGTTGTCCACCCGGGTTACCATGCACGCTTTGCCTCTGCGTTTGCTGTTGCTGTTGCAGCTTTCTCGAGCATCTCGTGCGCAAGCAACGTTTGCCTCAATGGCTTCGGTCTTTTCTGCTTGCTGGACTCTGGTCTCCTCCTCCGTATGATGCAGCGCTCCACCATACTCCGCGCTCTCCCCGTGCTGCGCTTGCCGCTGTTGGTTTGGTACTTGCTCCTTCTGCCGCAGTGGCGCTGCTGGACCTTTGGCATTGCTGCCATCTGCGTCCATGGACTGCGCACTATCTGAATGTTCCATTTCGATGCCACACATGCGCTGCTTCAGCGGCTGTTGGGGCAGTTGCTTCTGTTGCTGCTGTTGCTGCTGCGCTGCTCCTTGCTGCCATATACGTCTGACCTTCAACGGGCAGCTACCGAACACTTCAGCTTCGCTTGGCGGGGGCCGAAAATATACAAAACAACATCGATTGCCCTCTTCCAGCCGGCACTGCTGCAGCAGCAGCTGCAGCTGCTGTGGATGCGGCTGCTGCAGCTGCTGCTGCCGGTGAAGGAATCGCAACAAGTCTGACCGAAGCTCTACTCGCTCAGCACTAGTTGGCAACCCTCTTGCTGCCGTAGCTGTTGCTGTTGCTGCACTAATGCATGCGCACGGCGGCGGAGTCAATCCTTGTTGCTGCTGGCGATGGCGGCCCCCGGGAGTTGCCGCAAGCGGATTAACTGCAGCGGGAACATCGCGAGGATTGCTGTAAAACGGAGTGATCTCTCCCACCTCTCTCTCACCCGATGCAACAGCAGCAACACCAGCACCAGCTAATGCACCTGCGTTTGCTTTTTCTGCAGTGGGGGATACCGATATGACAGAGACACTGGATTCGGATGCAGCTGAGTCTCTCCCCTCTCTACTGCACGCAAACGACCCCAAAGGGGCTCCTCCGCTGTTTCTGCATCTGCTGCCGCGTACGTAGCCCACCGGCTTGGCAACCACGGCAATGTTTCCATGCGCTGCTGGTATTGCTCCTTTTGGGGTGGCTGATGCTGCAGCTGTCGCTGTGTGCGGAGGACCCCCACATGGCCCCAAAGACCACAGGGCGCCGAACTGCGGACCATTCATCGGCTGAGTCGGAGACAGGTCCTCGCAAGAGGAGCGGGGACCAAGCCTCACCGTTGGTGTGTAGGAACTGCTGCTCGCTGCTTCGGATACATCAGGTGCTGAAGCGGCTGCTGGTGTCGCTGCTGCTGCTAGCATCTTGGGGGAAGCTCCTGAGACTGCTCCTGCCGTTGTTGTTTGTGCTGCGGCTTCTGCACTTCGAGCTCGTGGAACTTCATCGGCGGGATTTGGCAGACACGACGCCCCACGGCTCCGTCCGTCTGGCAGATCTCTTGGGGGTGCCACACAATCATCATCAAGCGCGCAGTAGCTGCTCAATGATACCTCCCCTAGGGGATGAGGCGAACCGCCGGCACCCTCAGCGACCAACCGTTTTGCCTCGCATGCTTGCAATAAGTCCTCCACATCTGATGAGCAACACTTGCGTTCGATAGAGTAGGCACACCTGCAGCAGCTGCTGCAGCATTTGCTGCACCTCTTGCTGGTATTGCTGCTGCTGCACTGTGCCGGCGTTCTCCGTGGAAACTGGAAGGCGATTGTGGGGCGGGAAGCGCGCGTTGGCGAGCTGCTATCGCTAAGGCTGCTGCAGTCGGCGTTGCTGCCCTCCGATACAGCTTGCAGCTCTGCAGAAACCGGGTTGTAGGCTCCATGGGGGCCCCCACGGGGTTCGGAAGGACCAGTTGCCTTGGACGGCCCTCCAGCTCCCTGGGATGTCAACAGCGCAGCGAACGCCTCGTCCCCTAGGTCCTGAAAACAAACGGAGGACAATAGCAACAAAGGCCGTGCTGCTGCTGCTGCTGCTGCTGCTGCTAACACTGCTGCTCCTTACTGCTAGATCCAGAATGTCTTCAGGGCTAGGATGTGCGGCCTTGGCGTCGGGCTGCAGCCCGACGGAAGCCTTCTGAGAAGGTGGCCGCCCCTGGCTTAAGAGGCAAGGGGCCGCTTCCGAGCCTTGGCTGCTGCACAGCGCCAGAAGGTGCCCCTGGCGACCCTGCGGCAGCACCGGAGGATCTTGTAGCTTGGACCCTGGGGGATGAAGGGGTGCATCCAAGAACGCAGGCAGTGCTGCAGGTACATCTGGAGACCCCTGGGTGTACAAACCACCCTCTGCTTCGGGATCAGAGGCTACAGACTGCTGCGATGCCTCCCAGTTCGATGATAAGGAAGCAGGAATCACTTCTACATTGGTCTGATGCTGTTTCTGTTGCTGCCGCTGCTGCTGCCGCTGCTGCTGCGCCGCTGGGTGTGGCACATGAGCATTGCTTGTGCTCTGCTTTATGGGGAGTGGCTGATGCACCGGCCGCCGCTCCTGCTCCTGCTGGTGCATCCATGTCTCTATACGCTTCAGAGTGTCCTTAAGGGCCTTCCTCCACAATTCAGGAGCGACCGCCCCGTGGGGGTCTCGGATGCCCTCTTGAGGCCCCCAATCTGAAGCTGAAGGGGGTGGAAATCCAAGTGCTGCTGCTCTTGCCGCCTCTTCTCTCCAGTACTCCGCAACGCTGCCAACGAGCCGAGCAGAAAAGCCTTTGCCGCTGCTGCTGCTGCTCTCGTCACTGCCATTACTGTTGCTTTTGGTGGTGGTGCTGCTGAGCGGTTTCGGTGCGGAGTTCGGCTGCTGCTGCTCGTTCTGCATGGACGAAATCCCCTCCGGTGTCTTGTGATTCGCGTGCTGACTTTGCGCTGCCGCTGTTGCTGCCTCTGCTTCTGCCATCTCCACAGCTGCAATCGGGTTCAGGACCTGTTCTACCCTTGCGTCTGCCTCTAATACACATTTGCTGCGTCGTGGAACACTCAGCAGCCGAAGACCCTGTGGGCCCCTCGGTGGAGTCGCCTCCATTATAAGCTCACACAGACGTGCAGCAGAACTGGTGCTGCTATTTGTTAATTCGTCTGCTGAAATTGCTGCTGCAGGACCTGCCGCCCCAGTCCTTCCTGCAGCCGAGCTCTTTTGGTGCAGTTGCTGCAGGAGCCTCCCCCAACCCAGCGCGGCCAAGGTCCTGGGGGCCCCTATCCCTAGCATTTCAAACTCTGGGCTAAGGCCCCTCCAACTCTCGTCGCTCAGAGGCGCCGGTAGCCCGTCCTGAGGCACGCCAGAAACGCACTCGGGCGTCCCCTGAGCTAAAGGGGCCCTCGAAGTGAGCCCCTGAGGCCCCCTGACAGCTGTTGCCTGCAGTCCCTGTGCAGGAAACAAGGCCCCTTAAAGGCACTTCTAAATTCATCCCTGTGTGCTTGTGGCGGTCCAGGAGGCCCGCTGGCTCCCCCGCTCCCCATGGAAGTTTCCGTATGTGCTTACTGTGTTGAGAGGACCCTCTTGAGGGCCCCCGTGGATGCCTGCTGCAGCCAGCGGGTGAAGAACGACAGGAACTCTAAAGAAGGGTTTGTTAACAAAGACGGGTGCCATGCCTTTGAGGTGAAGGTCCGCCAAGACTTGGGTCTGCAGATGACCCAGGGAGACAACGAGGACAGAGATAATAGAACTAAGTACAATACACAACAACCAGCGGCACAGGGATACGAACACATGGGCAACCCAGAAATACATGGAGACCACAAAAACCCAGCATATGCCACATTGCAGCCACTTATCTGAACACATGAATGAAGATAGGGCACAAAATGATGGTCCTGGGAACTTCAGTGTCTCCTATGGCGTATCGCGTTGCTACACAAAAGCGCAGCAACGGTAGATTGCACAACACGCGTCCCAGCAAGCGGTACACCGCGCGACCCAATCGGTAGCTGTGGGGTCAAAAAAAAACAAACATAGAGAACATGAATGCAAAAAACAAAGGGAAACTACAGTAAAAAGATGCCCACTTGAAAGCTGAGGTGTACTTCAAACGGCTGCATAGGAGAGCCCGTCACGACACCCTTCAGCAGAAGGCCAGCCAGAGGGCCCACCATTTCGGGTACCGTTAGCGATATTTTTAAAAAGAAGTGAAAGTCTCTGTGGTATCCGTAGAATGGTAACCGCCTCACAACCTCTATTTTCTGCACAAGGGGGCCCCCCTTGAACCCTCCTCGTGCTCCTACAGCCCCCATATCTCGCTGCACCGAACGGCCGCCAAGGCCCCCTTGTCTTCTCGTTCTGGGGCCCCCTGGCATAGTCCCACTTTGGGGTCCACGAGCTCTAGATGCCATAAGGCGGTCTGCCTCTAGCACCAGGCGGCGGGCGAAAGAACGCAAAAACGCGGTGGCCCCATCTCCGTAAGCCTCTGGAGGGGCTGGTACATAGAAATAAGGGAACAGCCCATGCAAGTGCAGACAGCAATGGGGGCCCCCCGCTCCCCAAGGCCCATAAATGCGTACAATAGGCACTCGCTCCAGGGGCCTCCCGCACACCTCAGACACCAGAGGGTCAAGCCCCTTAATTGGAGGATCCAAACCGGTTTCTATCACTGCAGCAGTCACTGCCATGCCAGGAGAGCCCCCTTGGGGCCTCGAAACCCCCTGTGGATGGGCCCGTGCTGAGCTAGTGGGGCGCGGAGCCCCCAAGGGCCTCGCAGAGCCAAAGGAGTCACCCTGTTTCTCCATGCCCTCGGAGAAGTCCAAACGCTCACTGCAGACCCTTGGACGGCCTCAGCGTGCGGCAGAAGGCAGGCTGGGGGCTCCCCCTCCCCCTTACAGGGGGCCCCCTTCCACCGCCGCCGCGTGAACCGGGTCAACACCAAAATTCAGGGTGCCCCCAGACTAGCCAACATGCCGTCCGATTGAACGTTTAGGGGCCCAACGGTATTTTTTGGCAACTTGACCATTGGGCCGAGGGAGGTTAATGTCTGCTGCAGCCCACCACCTCGGGGGCCCCCGACACACAAGACTAGGAAAGGGAAGAGTTCGGTGTGTTGCCTTCGAAGCGTCTTCAAAACAATAGAAAGTAATATACATTCACGGATTCAAATTTGAAGTATATAAAAGGCTAGTTTGTTGCAACAATGGGGGAGTTTTGCAGCCTGTTGTTGGCCCCCCTCAAGGGGGGCCCCACCACGTTTCCTTTTAGGACCCACCGGAAGCGCGCCTACCCGTACATCTGGTTGGAGCTCGAGGCCTTTGGCGTAGTGCATTTGTCTCATAAATGATATTCGCTCTGTTTGAAATCTTCTCTTTCCCGCGATACTTGGAATATTACCTTGTGCTGCATCCTGCCGCGTCTGTGTTGGTTGTGCTTTCGGACAAGTCGATGCTAGCGGAAGATCGTCGGGGGCTGCAGTAGCCAAAATACTTGATACAAGAATACCTCAGAAGCACCTGACTTCTCTAGTCTTTAGGCTTCCTGGGAGCTACAGTGCAGGCACCTGGGGAGGGTGCGTAGGGGAGGCCGCCTGTCATGGGTTGCGAGAGACCTTGCTGCGCTTCCTGCCGCAGGGCAAAACCAGAAGCATGCATAGCCACACCCCCCTTACTGCATGAGCTAGCATTGCAGACAATTGTTAATAGCATACGTAACCCTCAGTAGTTAGCGCGCACGTAAGTGGAGATAAAAGTACAACCGTCAGAAAAAACAGGCTGCATCCCCCACCATCGTCCAAAGAGCATATCCCTTCGTGTGCCTGGATGCCGAACAGTGGACAGATGCAATAGGGGAATCAATGCTTGCGAGAGCGACCAGAGCCCCGGACAAAAGGACAAAAGTGGTAAGGAGGAATAGCGGATCAGTAGGGGATGCTGCTAGTGTTTGCTGCTGCTGCCGCTGCTGCTGCTACTGTAGAGAGGCACTTCGCTGTGGAAGGTCTGCTCAGCGGCATGTGCCCACTATTCGTGTGAGGCACTCTGTGCTACTCGACTCGATTGGGAACAGCTTCCCAGTGGGGGAATAAAAACCCACTAGTGTGTGAAGTATAATGCGGAACGACGCCGGAGCTCAACATCAGTGTGAGCGTGGGCAGGGGGTTGGTCATCCAGCCAAAAGGCGAAGTCCCAGCACCAAAGCACCAAGAAGGTGCAGGTAAAAGCATTTGCTGTTGGATGTACTGCACTTAGTTCAGTGCAATGTGCCACAACCCAGCTGCTGGGAGGCCTCTCTGCTGTAACGCAGTCCTTAGGCAGTTGCCATTATTCTAGAGAAGCAGAGGTTTTGGCGATGACGCTTGCAAAGTTCCTTCACGACTAATCAGGGCTATTTCGCAACCCGTCCAGATGTAAGGTGGACCTCTATGCTCGCATTTGCCTCTTCCAAACGTGCTGTTACCAGTGCATGGGAATTCTTGTTCATAGCCGACGATCGGCGTGTGGCGCAATATACTCACAATACTTAAGTTCTCCCAAAGCTCTTCACCCCTCCCCGTCTCCTGGAGTCCTGGAGAGGCGTCATAAGACAAAGGCCTGCTACCGGTGTGGAGAGAAGGCCGCTTGCACTGTGTGGCACACGTAACTGCAACCCGTTCTCACATGCAAGCGTAGTTAAGCCCAGCGCACCAGCGCAGTAGAAAATTATTAAGACTTCTTTGCCTATCATTGGCCCGCCTGGAAAACTACACATGCACGTACCAACCTTTCGACAGGCCATTGCGCACCTGACGTGCGGTCGGCGGGCATCCGGCCAATGGACACAGCTGGAGGAGACGTTTTTAAAGCATATTAGACGAAATTAGTTATACAATTAAACAAAACATTAATCGAATTTCTTGGTGATTGTAGGATCCAAGGAATCCAGCGTTTTGACTGAGCGTTCCTACGGGTCACAGGGAAGCAGCCGTGGCGGTGTGGGGATGGCGCCGTACGGAGTTCAGGATTGGTCAGGCGTTTCGTCTTCTGTTGTAGACAGGGAACTATTGTCATTTTTGTATATTTACTCAATTTGTTCAATGTACGTTACTTCCTGGGAGGAAGGAACATACATTGAATACTGCTTTGTTTTTGTTTTGCATTCATATCGAGGCGTCGAACACGGACACAACAGGGCGTACATGGCCGTGCGCAGCTGAAAGTGCACGTCGAGTGAATCTGTCAATGAAGATGGCTACACAAAGTCCCTCCATTCATGATGTTTCCACTTCATTCAGTGGCCGTGGGCGCGGCTGGTTAGGTAATCATGTGAGCAACCCCGTTGACAGCAGTCTGAGGTTTCGGAGACGTGCAAGATCCGACCCGTTCCGCAATTCGCTCCTCCTCAGAGTCGGCTTCCTCACAGCCAGCATAACGATAATATTTCTGTTGGTCCACTGTGCCCGCGCATTGGTGACCTTGAGAGCGTCCGGCAGTAATTCTAGGTCTCTGGCAGAAGAGCCGTTTTTTCCCCCTGTCGGACCATGCGAAGGTGAAGGCGGCGTTCTAGTTCAGTTCTATGAGGGCAACCCAGATGGCACTCACGAAGGAGACCCAGAAGATCTGGGCATGGGACACAGCTCTGGGGCTCCTACACTTCCCTTGGGCGGCCCCACTGGAGGTAGTCTTGGTGTATATTTGGAAATCCCCGGGAGCCCCCCTAGCGGGTCTCGAACGCCATTCACACTCCCAGGGCCAGAAGGTCCTTTGCTTATAGTCGCACCGCCCGAAAACAAGGGGCTTCCGGGCCCATTTTATGGAACGCCCCTGGGCGAGCCGGCGAGACCTGGAGGTATTGCCAGCCCTGTTTCTGAGGTAGGCAACTCGATAGGTACAAGGGCTAGTGTACATTGGCCGCCATCAGGAAGTGGCACCAGTTCAAGTAATGGTGGGGCAGAAGGCCTCCCTCCGACAGGCGGCGCTGTGCATACGACTCCAGCATCCTCTCCTGATGTCAGCGGACATACTTCTGTTCCACAAGGACCCGATTCGGCTCCTTGGCTCTTTCCACCTCAATTTCCATTCCCACGGCAACACAGTCGTTTCTTCCCACACATTGTGCTTGGGGGCCATCCGATTTTGGGCGCACTTTTTGGCGATGACGAGGGAGGTGGAGAGAGTGCCTGGCCACCTGTTTCAGAGGGAAGCGCCTTCGTACCTCCTAGAGCACAGCAAGCAGGAGATACGAGCAGCCTCCCCCGGCCCATTGCAAGCCCTCAAGTCCCGCCGCCGGGTCCTTCAGCCATACGCGGCCCAACGCCAGCAGGCAACCAGGCAGTGAAAGGGCCACAAAAAAATCCGTGGGGAATAGGCCCGGTAAGTCATGGCGCCTCAGGACATCCCACTGCACCTAAAGGCAACAACCAGAATACCCCATACGAGGGGCAACCATCGACTTCAACCCAGCCAAGCGCCCATGGGTGGGGACCATTTGGAGTCTCTGAAAAAGGCTACATCCGGTCACCTCTCGATGGAGGAAATCCACCTGCTAGTGCCCCACAGGCAGGTACGAATGATGATTCTGGAAGTCTTCCTGTTGCGTCTCCATGGGGTGGCCATCCAGGAACCCACCCGGTCTCTTGAGACGTCCGCACCGTGTGCACCCGCAACCAGGAATTGGAGGGAGGCGTTCCTCTCGTTGACGTTGTGGACAAGAGGACCTCATAATGGTTACCCAAACTCATCCGAGTTAGGGGTTCGACGGGCTCGGGCTTGTAGCGGGCCTCTTGCTGCAAGGGCTGCGACGTCCTGCGTATATCTGGCGCTGCCATCGTTTTGCAGTGGGTGCTGAATTCGGGTAAACAGGTGGAGCTGGGAGGCATGATGAGCATAAGGGAAATATGGATTGCAGTTTTCGAAGAGTGCAGGACTCGTTACAGTTGCAACTGGGCATTACCAACCTGTTCAGGCACAGCAAAACACTGCACTACTTCCGCCGTGAGGAAGGGTGGCAGTGAAACCAGGTTGTTCTGCAAATCCGATTGTTACCCGTGTTTGACACGAGTTGTTTTTGTGTTTGTGCACTGAACTCATACACACTAGCAACATATTGGTCTGTCCTGGCAGGGGCTTTTGTTGCATGCGCGATGTTGGCAAAAACGGCGCCGACTATCAGCTACGGAAGTTCGTCAACGTGAAGAAATATTTCAAGGTATTCCGCCGCTCTGCCAGACACTCACAGGCACCCAAAGGAGGGTCTGTTACCAATACTGAAGTGATCTGCTGCCGTCTGCGCGCATGTGGGGACGCACACTGACTAGTCGATTGGCTGCGCTGCATCAGCAGTGTAGGGTATACTTTGCAACAGGAACAGAATGCCCTTGCAAGGTTAGGCGTGTTGGCTTTAGGAAGGAGTGTATTTCTGGAGTCATTATGAGAGGAGATTTGTGCTTCTTCGAAGTGCTGGTCCAACAAGTTTAGTTTTTGAGGGCTGTCCATACTCGTGTCAGTCAGTTCAACTGTGGAACGCACTCTGCCGTGGACGCTAGCTCTCGTGTTCTGCGAAAATAGGCGAAAAGTGAATTTTGTGCAATTTCCAGAAAAGTACTGTCTATTATGGTTCCTTAGCGCATTCATCGCACCACTGACTTTGGCTTGTTGGTGCGCCTGCTTAAGAACGCGGCATCTGTCTGTTCAGGCAAATAAAGATGCCAAGCCATCATGCCCACTTCCACACGGGCTGATGCACATTTGCAGTAGAATATGTTTTCACCAGGAACCCAATTTTCGACTTGTACTGCGAAGTTGAGGATCCGTTGCGACACAGGAATAGGATAGAATTACTCTTAGCTTGGTGAGGCGAATGGCGACTCGAAGCCGAGAAAAAGGACGGCACGTTCTGGAGTTTCCGGTGTAGAAATAGTGACTGTGTGGAATCTATAGTTCCGCTCTACGCAGAATGCAGGCAAAGGTGTCCTGATAGGTAGATAGATTCGTAGCACACTGTGCATCATTTGCTTCCCGATGACGCAGGTTTCCTCCGTGGCTTCACCTCACTTTACCGCCTCATGAACAGCGAGTTTACAAGCCTGTGTCCAAATGCCAGGCTGCCTTAGCTTAGCCCAACTGCTGTATCGGGGAGGAGAGGTTGGATGCATCCTTAGTGATGGCATAGCAGCACCCAGCATTTGCAGTGCGATGAATGCTCCCCACGTGCGCAAAACAGTCTTTCCTCTCAGAGTGCCTGGCGAAGGTACTGCAGCAAACCTACCCTGGACAATATGCATCATAAAAACACTAACACCTCGCAATGCGCCCCTAAAAAACCGCAGTACTATATGCAACGCATTCAGTTGGCCGTACGAACAAGTGCGCAATCAAACAAGTGCTGTAACTGAGCTGGAGGCCGGCGGAGAGTCACCTGCCGCACTCTAGATGGCCAAGACATCTGGCGTCTACCCCTGCGAATACCGATAAAGTGTCCGGTATTGAGCCCATTTCACTTCCGTCGTGTTACATACTGTTCGGCATGCACAATTGCGAATCACGTATCTTCCAGGCGCACAACACTCACCGTCGTCTGTGCCCGCTATGGCGTACCCGGCCAAACATCTCCGTTTGCATTGTGAAAATTAGTGTCTAAGCATTTGTTTTTCTGCTGCTAGTAAATCGCAACTCTCGCACTGCTTTTTCATGCGGAGAACAGGCTGCCGAGCTGAAACCCAGAGCCACCGAGGACTAGTCAATTATATATTTATTTGCGTATGTAAACCACCCCACCGCATGCACAGAAGGGTAGCTTTTAGTATGGCTGCCTATTACGCTGCAAATCTCTAAATTGCATTAAAAAAGAACTTGTTCAACATGCCGTCAATCTTTCAGCTTGCTTGGCGTGCATCGTTCAAACCTCCAGATGGCCTGCATCTGGAGATTTGACTTGCTCAACCACAAACTTACAGAACTAACGGGCTAAAAATCAACGGCCATGTGGGTGGCACTAACATCGTTTAAAAGCTTCTACAAGGCTGCGCCTTCGAGCAACCAACAAGAAGCTTGAAAGCCAGGAGAATCGGAGGAAGGAGAGAAAGTGCGCGATTATAGCTTCTCATACACATTCAAAAATCCGCCCACTGCTCGGCCAAATGCAGACGCCCCTAGAGAGCGAAGAATATCTGCAAGAAAACAGATGCATCTGGACGGAACCAGGCAAAATACGAGCACTGGCACTCCACGCAAGCGTACCCAAAACGGAGTCAGGCACAAAATAAAAGCAAAAGCCAATGCAGCAAATAAACGAAACAAATGGCGTCCGTACTCGTGTAATCTCCAGGAGGCGGTGTTTCCTTATAGTCGTAACGCAGGATCAGCGTGGGACGAGGATGCCAAGTCTCGTTTCCTGTGGCAGCAAAAGGAAGATCAAAGAAGCGGACGAGAGCCTCTGATAATCCTTCAGTCCTGCGAGCTTCCTTTGCCAATACGCAAGCAGTCACCAATCAGCATTCCATAATATCCCTTTGCGTTGCTTGCTCACCTTGGCCCCGGTGCAAAAGCCTGGAGTCATACACAAGTGCATCCCCGGGTTGTATTTCGGCCTTAACCGTGGATCCTCCTGGAACAACTCTTTTGAAAAACGCCGGCAGTGAGCGCAGCCAATGAAGCCAGCTGTCTCCTCCCTGCAGGCACAGACGAGCCGTGCACAGGTGCCGCATCCTGAATCACTGCTAGAGGCTGTCTAACAGCCAAAACATCACTGCTTCCCACACGCTAAAAAAAGACACGGCTAGACGGTTGTTCCCTCCAATTCCATTCTGGTCACCTCCCCGCTAAGGACGTGCGACCCTGGAAGCAGTTCTGTGGGGCCATTGTTTGGGTGTATTGGCACCAACGGAAGGACCACTGTTAGCCCCCGGTGCGAATTGTCACGATGCCATGGCTGGGCAAGCGCCAGCGCATCTGAACAAACAGCAGACGCTACACAGAACGCCGCACATCTTGCTGTCTCACCTTCCTACACGGTCTGCCGGTACAGGGAGGGAGAGAAACAACAGGACTTCAGAACACCATACCTGCATTTACCGTCTGCATCTCAGACACGAACACCCTTCAACAAACACAGCACACAACAGAACAAAAAAGAACAACCCTTGCATCTGCACAGACTTGACCGAAACGAATGCGACTGGCGCCTCCTATATTTTCATACTCAGCAGTCTCCACTGGAACCGCAAGACCTCTGACTCGCTGCCGTATTGTAGATAAGGTGGTCCCCACCGTGTCTTTCCTTCAAGGCCTCCTGCCTCCGGAGGAGCTCCAGACGAAAGATATGAATGCACCAGCGGCGAAAACAACCGTTGTACGTCAACTAGAGACTGTTCAATCAACGACCCACGGAGGAGACAGTGCAGGCGCCCTAAAATGCACAAGACGCCGCACGCAAACGCACCCGCACAAAGCATTCATAGTCGTACCTCCAGCAGCAACAAGGACAACAAAACCACAAGTGGCTGAAAAAGCAGCAACAGGACGAGGAGCCCAGCATCACACACCATATGTAGGCCTGGTACAGTAAACGTTGGGGTCCACTTCCTTCATCTTCAAGCCTCCTTCTGACGCCTGTCCATACACTCGTCAAATCGGACTCAAGACGTGAGCCCCGTTCTGTGCAGTCACTAAAACTACATGGTTAACGTTAAACAATCGATGCTCTTCAGTCTCATCCCCAGCGCCAGACGTACTGTTTCGCTGGCAGCAAAGGTGGCCTGCTGCACCTCCTTCAGCTGCTCGGGAGAAAGGGCATTTTTTATTACAACAAAACCATGCTCGGCAATGGCCGATGTGGCAGCCTTAAAATCTGACGCCCGCAGAAACAATGGGGCACCCGTGGAAGCCTTCGGGTGCCCGCCCGCCCTGCAGCTGCAGCACCACACACACCGCACAAAAAAGCAAAACCGGAGTCACTAGGGGAGTCCGGCTGAGAGACTGGGCTACGGGCTCTGGCAGAGCAGTGTAGCAGTCCTGATGTCCTTGCTCCGGCAGAAGCTGCTGCAGCAACGGCTGGTGCAGCAGCCTGTAGTTTGTCAGAGATTACCGCTCCTGTGCATCTGCGTAGGATGAAAGGGCCATCGGCGTGCCCGCGTCTCTCCCCGTATTTCGCGCGGAAAGCTGCCGCACACGTGGGGGAGGGGCATCGGGTTGTCGCTCCTGGGGGTCTGGCTGCCTGTGCAGCACGCCGCTACGTTCCCAGCTGCTGCACAGACTGCCGAGCACTTGCTTGTCAACTGAAGCAACAAATACATCCAAAGCCTCTCTACCTTTCGTCGTAAGCAATAGCGGCAGCAGCGACTCCGTCGGACTGCCGCTGGTCTTCTTCTGAAGTGTATGGATGTGCTGCAGTGCTTGCAGCAGCTCGCGCGCCGGCTGCGCGAAGTCGCAGGCTGAAGCAGCAGCACGAATTGTAGGTTCATAGAAGGCGTCTTTGAAAGCACTTTCCGTTTCCCTAAGCAGCCAATGCATATCTGCCTCTCGACACAGCAGCTGCTCATGTGGCTGTTTTGCCTGCTGCTCCATAAGAGCCGCAAGATCACACAGCAAGGCTGCTTTTAAGGCGGCGCAGAAGACGGCCTTTAGGTGCATATGCAGCTCTAATGGGGCTCCTGTCTTTGCTGCAGCAAGCAGTGCAGAGGCAGGCCCTAGATGGGGGCTGGCAACTGCAATTTCCTCCGCCCAGGAGCTACCGGGTATCTCGCTGGCTGTTACAGCTGCTGCGGCATCAGCTGCTGCCTGTGCCGTTGAGGCGGCAAGACCGAGGTCGAGGAGCCTCTGTCTCTGCTGCTGCCTGCACAATTCGACGTCCTTGGCAAGCGCTGCTGCTGTAATGGGTTGGTATGGCTCTCCGTACACTTCAGGGATATTGCCTTGGCCCCTTCCTGATGGGGGATGGCGCCGCTTGTGTCGTCGCAGCAGCAGCAACCCCCCACCTGGACGCACGAGCCGACACAGAAAACTCAGCAAGTCATGCGAGAGTTGTCAACAAAGAATATTCTTCCTACGGGCACTGCGCTTGATTGTAGGTCTTGCTAGCGTCATGCAGGCCTATGGATTTTTTAGAGGCACATGGCCCACAGATGAGATCCCGTCTTCTCCGCCCCCAAAATAGACGTATTCGCCCCGCCTGCTTACCTCCAACAGCAGCCGTAGCTGCAGCGCCCGCTAGGCAGTGTAGAGCTACCCGCCTGGCTTGAAGCCTCATCGACGAAACCTGAAGGCGCACCATAGCGGCTTGGGGAGTGAATGTGTTCCTCCAAGCAACTTCAGTTTATGCTGTTTTCATCCAGGTAAAGCAAGACACCAAGGCAGCCAGCGAGGTTCCTCCGTAGCCTTGTTTACCTTGGGGCCCCTGCCTGCACAGCTGCCATCTGCCAGAGGAGTGGGGCAGGGGATCCGCCAAACAGGACGCTATTTAACAACAATAATTTTGAAAGTTCAGCTTAATGTCGCCATAAAAGGGAAAAGGAAAATAAGGTAACCGCTCCTTTCTTCTGGGTTCCTGTTCCAGCTGTTTCTGTGCTAGCTTGCCCTCAGCTTAGATATCATATGCTCGCCTGTGTGTATTATATTCCATGCATTGTTTCATGATTATTTCAGCCTTTTCAGAATGCATGCGCCTCATTGCTGCCATTCTACTGAGGAAGTTTCTTGGGTATGTGCGCGGCGCCTACAGCAGGCTGAACTAATCTTCGATTGACAACTTTCATCGCTGGATGTGTTGAACCATAACTTTTTGGGAAAAGGCACGGCTACCAACGTATACCTGCACTTGGTACTTCCATGGTTTATCTCGTGCGGTGGAAAATGTAAGAAGGCTCCCACCTCTTGAGAATCATCTTAATAGAGCTCAGTGAAGGGACGCCCTGCGTGGCTCTGTGGTTTGACTTGATCTCTTATTGCATTTCAGCGGTTGTCTTGTGTACTACCTGGTCGTGGACCACCGAAAATAAGCAGGCAAGCTTCCCTGCAGTCTTCAGGCTTCCAGGAAGCAGCGACATGGCCCGGTACCCACACGTAGGGAAGATGGCCTACCGTGACTGCCGCAAGTGCTGCTGGTGCAACTGATGCTGGAGGGTAACCCCACAAGCAAGCATAGTGACACTATACTTGTTGCGTGCAGTGACACCGTAAAAATCAGACGGCCAGCAGTAGTCAGCTGCATCAGAGTGCAGGCACACATACCACCAACAGGCGGGCCAGCCTTCTGTTGTCCACTCTTCTCGGCCAATCAGCATATGCCCTCGTGCGTTGATGTGGCAGGCCGCGTCGGTGACATGCCCCCTGGTCGGGCAAGGCGCTGTGCGTCGGTCGCCCTGGTTGGGCGCAGTCTTTTAATTAGGGTGTCGCAGCAGAGTAGATGCCTGCAGTGAACTGGTGCCGGAGCGCAACATCAGTGGGCGCGTGAGGCAGGGGTGCTGCCAACTACCAAAGTTTTTTAAGATGTGGAAATTGTGCTGACGGCGAAGCCGAGGTAGCTCGACGCGAAGGGAGGGTTGCAGATCACATCGGAGAAGAACGATTGGATCCGGGGAGCCGGTAGATATGAAGATACGAGCCCGTTTATCTACGTGCAACTGGACTTGTCAAAAAACAATACATTTGATCCAACTTCAAGCCCTGCTAAGTATGCCGACGGCAGTAGTCTAGAACGCGGAGTCGCGGAGGGTAACTAGGTGCTCGTGAGGAATTGATAGGCAGGAGCATCCTTGAAACTCACGGATCTCATTAGTGTGTAGTGAAGGCCTCATCTGCGCTCTCCTCTGAGACACCTATTACATGCATAGGAATGTGTGGTCGTAAACTGGCATAGCGTCGAAATATCGTACCATGGTAATATGGCGCACTTGTTAATTGAGCCCGCAGTGCATGCCGAAGATCTGTCATCGGCAAAGCTTAGTCGTGGAGATTACTCGAGGGACTGTGTAGGTGGACTCCCCGTGCTATGGATGTCATATCAGATCCACTTCACAGCCTTTGTCCAGTGACGTTAGCAAGCCCTGAGCTCTAACACGAACTTGTTTGCGCAAACCATTTATTCGCGGATAATCTGCAGCTGCAGCTGCTGCCGTTTCTCTCCACATCGTGTCGCCCCACGCTCTATAGGGGACATGGCGATGGCCTGATTGCTAGTTGCCCTGGCCATGTTGCTCAAAATCTTGCTTCTCCAGCTCCTTTGAGTCTTTCAAACTCCTTAAATCGCCAATCAGGGTACACTGATTGATACACGTGAAGGGAGTACGCCTCTCGACACTTTTGGCGGGCTCTCCGAGTACCGGGTTCTCGGGCTACCGCCTGTTCTCGCTGCAAAATCTATTTCTGGGAGGGAGGGCACTCGCAGCCGCCATATCTATAGATTACATATCCGGGTCACTTCCAAAACGTTTTGTTTTTCGTTCAGTTAGGGCAGTGAACGTGGCCTTTCCCTCCTCTTCTGTGGGGAACTACTACTTCATCTTGACCAATTCCACCCTTCCCCCTTCTTGTTGTTTTCAGCGACCCAGCTGCTTACTGACTGACCCTTCAGGTGGCAGGCCTGCAACGAGTTATTGATATAGAGGCTCCGAGTTCACCGTTGGAGATCTAAACTTTTGTTCTCCAGGCGGTGGTGCTTTTCGATGACAACTTTCCTCGTTTAAAGTTTTCTTAATTCTGCCATTACAGAAAGCTTCCAGAGTTCGGATGTGCTCAAGAAAATTGGTAGCTTTACTTTGATACAGCCACCAACGCCGTGCCTCCTCCTCCAATAAAATGAACCCCTTACCGACCTTAGGTACAGTTGGTAATGTTTATCTGAAAAAGGTGCACTTTGAAGAGCAAAGTACGTCGATAGAAGGGCAGATATTTTAGTAGTAGCTATTCTGCACTCAGGCACCAACCTCAGATGGACCGTTTTGCATCTTACCAGCATGAACAAGCTCAAATATGGGGAATCTGTTAACTGGTGCTACCAGTCTTCTTGCTGAATGACTTGCAAAGCAAGTCGTCCGCCTTATGGCTTGCATTATGTGTGCATTGAAAGCCATAATGTGTATATCCATGTACTAAAAGCGCCTATAGTCGCGTGTTTTTGCCCACGTTTAAAAGAAGCGACCAGGGACACCGCAAGGGCACCCACGGGGTCCACTGGACGAACCCTCCAATGATCCTTGCCGCAAAAGAAAGACGAAAATAACTACTTATTTGGCTTATTACTCTCGACCGGGCTCGTCATGCTTTGAAGCGCTTGTTTGTTTATGCCTCTGGTACGTCGAGTGCATCGGTCAATGGCTTCCTGACATCACGGTAAGCCGTGCATCAGGCCAGCTGGGAACAGCAGATGCTGGCGAAACATTTATTGCAAAGGCTTATTGGAAACAGCAGCAACAAGCGAGTCTTTTTTGAAAAGGCTCTTCGGAATTTTATGGGGTTACTTGAATTCAGCCCCTTCCTCTCGTGCCCCGACGAAATGGGAATCTCCGCGTGGCAGACAGCAAGGCGACGTGATCAGCATGATCAGCACGCCGTTGAAGTACAGTTTTCAACCAGAGCTAAACATGATAGAGGAAAACTGTCGTAAATCGCTACGAAAAAGGGGCGTTCTCTTCTTCCCTACACGGTGTCTTGATCTCACGCCGGTCCGTCGTCGAGCACCGATTTTAAGCAGGCCTCTTTTTTGCCAGTTGATTCTCGAATCTTTGCCTTCTTAAAAAACTGAGTGCTTTAATCTCGTTATGGAAGGACTGCGGGGAGTCTGCGCTGACGACTTCTCTTTTGTGAGGCCGTTTCACAGGCCCTGGCTATACATGCTCCATTATTGAACAGCCTGTGCTCGGTGGTCCCAGACATGTGGTTCGTCACTGTGGAGTTTCCTCCACTCACTCAGGGAGCATTTTGTAAACATAACTCTTCACGTCTTGGCATTTGTTCCGTTTGGCTGGCTGGATTGAGCCTGCTGTTGTTTGCACGACTGAGTGGCGCGAGCGATGCTCCCGCGCGAGTTTTTCCAGAGGCTGCACAGGATGGTGAAACCGCGTTACCATTGGTGAGAAGCCCCAGCCATGGGGATTTGCTTGATCGTGGCCCCTCTATATATTCGGGCGGGATTTGGATGTTGAGGGGGAAGATGCATCCACTGGTTTATCGCAGGCTAAGGCCAACTCCCCGCCATTTCGCCACAGGTCTCATCTTCACAGGGGCTGTGGCAGCAGTTGCCTTTTTAATTTTGAGGTGCGCATTCCTTCAGGCTAAATCGCTTGTTAGAGCCTCTCGTAGGTCGCTGGCTGAAGGGGGAGGTTACCTCCAAGCATGTGGGAACCCTAGCTATACTTCAGAGGGAAGGGCGGCCGATGCTGCTTCGGATGCGAATCCAGGTATGGAAGAGAGACTTCGGGCTTTATTGATAACGCAAGAGAAAGTGTTCGCCATTGGTTGGCGAACGATTACGAAGATGCTTTGTCTGGACGGCCTCAGGACGATGGGTGTGCTTGTCGCATTTGCAACGATTGAACAAGTTACACTCTCTGCTTTTCTGTCTCCAGAGTTGGAGGAACGGAGGAGAAGTTCAGCAGTTCAACTTCTCAGTTTGGCTCGTTTCCTTGTCCGAGGAACCCCACACATGATGCCGTTTTCGAGGCAGGTGTATCGACTGCTCCGAGCATGCAAGCTTTATTCATTCAGTCGAATCAGACGTGCGGAACTGCCAGTCATGACTCCGGATGAACGTACATGCATGCTAGAAGAATTAGTGATGGTGCAGAATGCAGCGTGGAGCTTAGTGCATGGGGCGCTGCTAGAGTTGGATCGATGGAGTCCAGCAGATGCTGGGATGCCTTTGGAGCTATTGAGCAAGCGAGTACTTCTCACGATTGCTGCGACACTCCGCACACGCCGAAGGCAATTGTTGAGGATTCCGGCAGCAGTATATTGCCTGAGCGAGCTTCAAGCGGCTGCGAAACTGAAACTGATCTTCGGCCAGGCTGGTGTTGAGACTGCTAAAAAATATGGTCCTTTGCCTGGGGCTGAAGGCCAAATCTTGCAGTTGATGACTCAGGTGGAAGAGGTACAAAGGACGCAACTTTTGGCTAAATATTCAGAAGGGGAAGAAGAACTAACTCTAGGGGAATTTTCTGCGACGGAAGAGTACACGCCAAGCAATTTTGAGGATTCCGAAATGCTTGAGGAGGCTTCTTCCTATGAGTTCACCCCTTCAGTAAAAACGACCTTCTCGACATCGAGACAAGCACTGCACATGCCCGAACACACTCCAAACTACCCCCCGTTTTATGCATTGTTTTCTTCAAACCCCCCTGCACTGCCTCTGCCTCTGCCTCGGCCTCGGCCTGGAGTAGGGAGAGAAGAGCGGCACACCCATTCCTCCTCGCCTTCCGTGCGGATACCTTCTCCGGAGATTGTTTATCCCGAGGACCACTCAGTGTGGAGAAATGAGGGTTCCACCTCTATCACTTTGCCTGCCACTGAGGGTGCAGTCGAAGCACCAATTCAAGATGCTGACGAGCTAGGCTTGCAACGAGATTTTGCAGCGTTGCGCTTCCTTTGGGAGGCCAAGGGTGACATCCTGAGTTCAGGTATTCACTTGAATTTAGATCGTGGGAACGGAGTGCAACTTCCACACGAAAGCGATAGTCAGACTCCCTTCTATGGGGTACCTCTGGGGGACCCCGCGCAGCCGTGGCCCCCTGAAGTTCTTCGACCTGCTGGCACCACAACACCTTTTGATTTAGTGGAATTAGACTTCTGGTCGACAGGGCTTAGCTTTCTGCGCTCAGGAGGGCATCAACGCGACAACGCGCAGACACGTCCTTAAGATTTCGTTTGCACACATCTGCACGGGCGGGTTTGTCTGACCGCAAAGAGGGACATTTTAGGCGAGGGAGAACAACGTACAGGAAGGATGTGTTTTCTCGAAATGGGCGCTGTATTACAGAGGCACCCGGAAAAACACAGGCGATTGCCTGCAGACGCACCAGCGATTTAGTCCTTGACTACGCATGGTGATTCTTGTGGCGGTTGCGCGGGTTGATATGATGGGCAGCCAAAGAGGACGCTTGAGATGCGCAGCATGCCGAGAAGATTGTGCCCTTACACATGTTCGTTCTTGTTGTTTTACTGACCGTCAGTGACAAACATCATAGCGTATGGGACTGTGCGCTGCATTTTCAAGAAAAACCCGGGTAAACTCATACTTTCGTTGGATCAGAGCGTCCGCGGTATGGTTTTCTGTGAGGATATATCTGCAGTGTATCGATCATGGACGTTTCTTATGCTTGCTGCCTGGGAAAACCCCCCCACTTGGTTGGCAGCCAGGTTTTTTTTTTCTGCCACATGAATTCAGGCAGCAGATCTGGAGTGCTAGATACATGGCCTGGCAGTTGGGCGGTGCCTTCTGCATTCCATATCACTCCACGTGATTCCCGCAGCACAAAACACTTCTTCAATTTTGTTTCATACCCTACTGCTGCAACCACCTCGCAGCCGCACAGTGAATGTGTTTGCCTGGGCTGTGGACTTTTGACAATGCCAGTGTCGGGGGTGGTGTGAAGCTACTGTTGCTTTATGGACTATCAGTCTGCGAATTTCCGTGATGCAGTGCGGTCTGCTCTTTATTGGTATTCTACAACCAACAGGAGGATACAGGACCGCCAAATGGAGCTGAGGTACATTTTTTGCCCCACCAAGAGCGGGGGTGCAGTGCCTTTTCTACGAAACTATGACAGTCTTGCGGAAGACAAACCAGCAAAACCAGCATGAGCATACTTAACTCCTCTGCTGTTTTGACTAAAATCGCACAAATCATGGCTTTCGGGAGCAGGAACAGTTTATGGGTCAGTCTTCCATGCGGGGGGCCGTAGAGTTGCATTTCGGGCCTAAAGCACGAACTGCTTTTTCGCGGGGGAAACTACACTGCTCCTGAGGCAAAGGCAGATACCAAGGATATTTCATTGAGAGTCTAGGATTAGAGAGTGAGTTCACAGCCGCCCGACAGTGTGCCACATGAGGCACAACGCATGCACGGTTGGGTGGCCCGGTCCCATCCTGGGAAATGTCCCGTTCATTTGAACTCCTTCGGTCAGAACAACAAAAACAGAATGCGGTTTCTGCTCCTCTTCCGCCCATGCGCGATGCGCATTTTGCCTAGCTTAAATGTATGCATGCCTGGATTATGACAGGGAAGTTACCAGCTGTAGTAGCTGTAGTGGTGTGCCGTGGAATTCACTTGCTTTTTCTCCATTAACATCTTCGATAGAACTAATTTTTGACTTCATAACACTGGCGGTTCATGCTGGGGGTGGGTTTACGGAGGAAGCAGAGACTCCATGTGGGGCCACCTTGCCCACACAGTGACCTCGCGCGTTGGGTCCCTTTCACGATTCATTTCTAATTTGTGGGCAAATAGGCAATTCATCATGAAAAAATTAATTTTAATGAAGTGGTCCAATTGTTGCGCTAAATATGGTTGCATTTGTAGTCGCATCGTAGTTGACAGCGCCTCGTCGAGACTTGAGGCCTGGTGTTCAGTTGAAGGCGGAGGCATATTTTACGCCAACGTCACGTATAGCTACCGAGGAAAAGTTCACCTTTTGATTCGATTATATCGGCAATCCTCTATCTGTATAAGGTGGGGGTGCGTCTTCCATTTTCTTCGGGTGATGTCCGATGTGGACTCTGCCAGCTCGTAGAGTTGAATATTTCCAGTGGCGCAGTAGGTCCCGTTCGTGCTTTTCGCTTTCATTTAGGCCACCGCTCTCTCATATGGTGGGTTTTGTGGCTGCAAACAGGGTAGATAGTTCTTGACGTGAAGGATAAATGCCAAAAAAGCCTGTGGAAAAGTCAGGTTCGTCTCAAGCGACCATTGACACGCGCACAGATGCGCAAAAGTGACAGTTTAGTAGTAAAGATTCTTGTTCAGATAAAGAGAGCGGGTATTAAGACATGCATGCCACCAGCCGCTCGAGTTATGCGGTGAAGAGCTGACAAAGCCTGTGCCCACTCCATCGGGAACCTCACATCTCACTTTCGTTGCGGTCACTCACACTTTATTAGCCCCTTTTCCACTATCTGACAGGGCGCATTGTGCTATGGCCAAGGACAGAATGAGAAAAATGCGCGGGACTCCTTTCTGTAGTTTGTCAGCACGGTAAGGAAGTATGATGTTAGTCAACCAGAAAACCGGGGAAACGGTTTTTTTTTGTCGATTACTGCGGGCGAGGAGTTTTTCAGTAAATAAGACGCAATATGTTACATCCAAGAATAACACAACCCTCATTTTGAAAACCAGGAATCGTTAATACTCAAAATTGTCTCTCGATTGGTGTTGTTAACAGAAGAGTCTCAGCTGACTAACAGGGCTAGATCGGCTACAGTTCGTCAGTGCCCCCACCCTATAGTAGTCCGGCATCCTGTATTAGAAGAACGGAGCAAAGCTGCATAGTGTACCTGCGACCGAGTTCTGTTTGCTTTACGTCTGACGTCGTCTCTTCGCTGCTGGAGTTGATGCCTGATGCTGGACGATGCATTTATACAAATCCACGTCAGCTGAGGGGTGTTAATTGCTGCTTGTGAAGGCGTTCATGCACGCGAGTTCCTCAAGATGTGATTGTTTCCGGGCTCTGAGGTGCTGAAATGATATTACCGAACAAGACGATCTCCGCCGCCAATCAAGCTGAACCACGGGGCTGCCCACAGATGCATTCGCTGACTCACGGGGCTTGGCATCAGATGCATGTAATTGTGAATCAATGAATAAAGCTGATAAATATCCGCTTTCATTGCCCTTGAAGGAATGTTCAGCAGGCAGCTAGAGAGAGCCGCGTTCCTCCAATAATGCTACATGCTAACAACAGTCAGGCCTCCAACCCAGTGCATCATTCCAAGCAGCTGCGACAGAATATGCACGGTTAATCGGGCTTCTTGTTCTGTTCCGGGTACCCAAAGTGCTTAACTACGATGCAGGTGTTCCAGGAACGTCGTGTCTAGACACTGCATTCTTTGTAGAGAGTTCCTCTAAAGGATTCGAACGTACGCCTTGCACCAGCTGGCGTTCAGCAACGCCGAACTACATACCAGAAGCGATCCATGCCTCAGACCATCGAACAACAGGCAAAGATTAAACTAATTCAGCTTTACCATTTCACTACTCCTCACAAAATCCCTTTTCACTGCAAAAAATCCCCCACTGCAGCATAAAAAGATGTCCTGGACCACTAGACGATAGGGGCTTATAATGATATATTTCCAGGCGAATACCCATGGAGCCACAGACTGCCCTTCCCGGCGGCCTCGAGCGACAGTCGGCGAAGGAAGAAACGAGCGAGGCATCATCTAGCCAACCTTTGCTGCCGACCCAGGAACCGCAGAAACAGCAGCAAGAACAACAGCAAGACCAGCAGCAAGAACAGCAGCAAGAACAGCAGCAACAGCAACAGCAGCAGCAGCAGCAGCTAGTGCAGCCGAAGGAGGATTCGTTTCTGGTGTGTACCTGCAGGGCCCTCCTGCAGAAACATGGGGCGTTGGGAGAAGATGGCCTTTTTGAGGATCCTGACTTTCCTCCTCTTCACTCTGAAGACTCTACGCATCCTCCCGTGTGTTTTCACTGTGGGTACTTGCTTTGCAGTTTGTTTGTAGAGTCAGCGATGGGTACAGCATAACCAGCGAATCTAGCGCAAATGTATCAGCGGGACTCGCATGCCCATTTGTTCGCTTGTGCTGTATCCAGGGGAGCGGGGGGGAATTTGCAGGTGTATTGAAAGAGCTGCTGTGGGTGCGGCCTGACGAAATCGTTCAGCGCATTCAACAACAACAGTGCAAAGCCCAGCGGGTCTCGCGCCCTCAGCCGCAGCAGCAACAGTTGCAGGAAAAACCCATGCAATTGCAGCAACCAGAGAAAACTGCCATTCTGTTTAGCAGCAACCGAATCGCTTCAACGGTGGCTCAGGGTATTCTGCCTTCCCGCGCATTCGCTGCTGCGGCCAGCGGACTAGCAGCCTCAAACCCCCGCCTCATCAGGGAGGCGCTGGTGCATCCCCAGGAGTGGCGGTAAATAAATAAATAAATATAAATGAATTCCGAGGCCTTTGGCTTAAAGTTGATGCTGGCGTTTCTCACCTCAGGGTCGCTCAAGGCCGCGGCAACTAATTTCGCGTAGAGCGCCCCCAGAGGCTTAAAAGTTGCAGCGGTTGAGAGGTTCAGCTGTGAAACCACTGCATTGGTATCTGTATGTATCTCTCTGTCGCTGCAGTGCTCGCGGCATATTTTGTGCCGCTTTCTTCCGGGGGAGCCAACGCGAAGTGGTTTCGGTGGACACGCGCTTACCTTGTCGTCTCTCTCAGCAGCCTAAAGAACATACGCGGAGGTCTCGCTGTTGCAGTAGAGCTGGAGGCATAGAGGGCCACAGAGCTCGAAGGAGCACCAGGAAAGGAACAGTCGCACCAGGAGCAGTTCAGCCACTCGACGAAGGAAGCGGTTCTGGCGCTGCCGCTGCTGCTGCTCCTGCAGAGGCGGAGGGCACGCAACCAGACGCAGCAGTTGCTGGGCAACAATCTCATCATGCTCACTTAGGTGGAACAAAACAAAAGAACAAACGTGGCGAACGATGCTCTGTGGACCCAGCACACACACAAGCAGACGGCGCTGACTCTCCCGTAGAATTCGCGTGAGCCTTTATCGCCAAAGTTGAATGCTAATGTTATACTAGAACTGCTTGAAAAAATGATCAAATATATCCTAAAAGAAAACAGACACACTTCTCTTTCCCTGTCACGTGAATCTCCCCGTTGATATATGCGAAACAGCCATTGCTCTACCTACCTTATCGCAGTTGTCGAAAGGGTTTAGTGTTTATGGTTTACGGTTTTAGACTTTAGAGTTTAGGGTTTAGGATCTTAGCGTTTAAGGGTTTAGGGTTAGAGCTCTCTTTTGTTTAGTCGTAAAGCCCATTCATTTCTCCTCTCTTGATCCCCTTTCCGAGTATGTCAGCCTGGTAATTCGATGAGGAATCTAAACACAGAAATTTTGAATCGAACCCTCCGCCTGATGTTTTACCCCTGGAAACGCGAAAATAGACAATAGAAAATGGTGTAGCACTCTACATAGCAGCTATCTACGTTCCGTGTGTCACTACCTATTGTTCGGTTTGTTCTTGCTCTTGTTCTGGCGGCCGTCTTTGCTTTTGATTTTGTTCTTGTTCTTGCTGTTCTTGTTCTTGTTTTTCTTCTTGTTGTTCTCGTTCTTGTTCTCGTTCCTGTCCTTGGTTTTCTCCTTCTTGTTCCTGGTCCCGTCCTCGTTCTTGTTCCTGCTGTTCTTGTTCTTGCTCTCGTTCTTGCTCTTCCTGTGCTGCTGCTTCTGCTGCTGCCGAATCTGCCGCAGTCCTGCAGCTGCCACTGCGTGTTATATCTCTGGAAGCCTAGATGATCCTGTTGCTACCTTTTTTATTTTTTTCGCAGTTTTTCTCACTGCCACGCATTCGAGGAGGTTTGGCTGCCTCTTCTGGAGAAGGCGTACGCCAAGTTTCTTGGCTCTTACGAAGGGGTAGCGCAGAGGTTCGATTCTCCTCACTCCCGCTTCCCTGCCCCTCAATTGCTGCTGATGCGTATTTGAATCATTCAAACTGTAAAAACAGTGCAGATATAGAAAGCTCGTATTTATTGTACTTCTTTCCAGCAACGGACGTAGAAAATTAGTTGTAGCGATGCCCTTGATAAAAAGATTTCCGTTGGGTGATGTCCAACTCCAGCGACGAGAACCAGAGAAAAAGTGATTGCTCGGATAGAACATGCTCTGAATACCCCCAACAACAGTAACGCAAATGCCAAGATATATATAGTATACAAATATCATATACATATATATATATATATATGTATATATATATATATATATATATATGATATATGTATTGATGCATGCATATTTTCAAATATATATAATATATATATATTTACGTATATATGTACATATATATATAATATATATATACGTAGGACATACATGGATGTTTTATAAAATGCGCATATATATATATATATATATGCATGTATTCATGCAAATGTCTTACCATGTGCATTATTATTGTTTATTGATTACGCTGGGCGTCTTCAGGGCCTTTCGAGATATTGCTGTAGACCTGACGGGAGGCGTTGGTGCGTTTTTCCTTTTCATGCCGAGAGTGCAATTTGTTTGGCGGTCTGCTTTGCATGCAGCACTGGCTACCATGAGTGCATTTGTAGTTACATTTGGTAGTAGTAAAACAGCGAAGGTACGCAAACAGGAGCGGCATGAAGAAAGGAATCCGCTGCCTGCTGTTGAAATATATATTATTGTCACTGGGTATATCCGATATTTGGCGCGAGGTGTATGCACAGTTGAAGAAAGGGAAATTCAATGTTTCGATGCTCCGGTTCTTTGGGCCAAACTCCGAAAGTAAGACAATCGATATACACCCGCATAAACGCGCTTCTCTATGTAGAGCGGCACTCCCCGTCATATATATATATATATTATTTATTAGTAAAAGGAGGCATCTAGGCGCCCCTTGTTCTGATCTAGGACGCTAGTGCATGCACTATGGCATGCATGGGTTGCGCTTCAAGGTTCTTCTTAGGAGCGTTTTAAATGGAAATGAAACGTACAAAGCCAACCGACACCACCGTCACAATCCATCACGCGCATGCATGCATTCATGCATGCATGCACTAGGGTTTACGGCTGATAGTGTGTTCTTCTTTGTACAGGACTTTCAACTTTGGGGGCTGTTTTCTTAGCTGCGTCGCTCGTGGTGCAGATATCGAAAAAGACAACATTCTGCCAGACAGACACTACACCATCATCGATGTTGTCCGGGTGCGTACACCAGAAAAAGCGACGCTGAATTGCTGAAACGCCCTCCTCAAGCATTGCCGGCCTTCACTTCTAAACCCTAAACCCTACACCTTTGCAAGTGCGAATGCATGCGTGGGGTGTGTACGGTCCTCACAGGTCGACGAGTTGCGGCTGCTACGCCTTCATAACCCCTGGAAGGTCCCGACTTGGCGAGGAGAATTCTCAGATTACCATCGCTCATGGACGCAATACCCTGGTGTGCGGCAACTGAGAGCGGTGCAACACTGCAACAGCAGAAGTAGCAGCAGCAGAAGCAGCACTGTTGCAGCAGCAGCGCACTGGTTTAGCCGCAGATTTGCCGCCGCAGTAGCAGCAACTACATTCACTCCGCAGCAGCAGTGCTGCTGCCTCAGCATCAGCAGTGCTGCTACTGAGGCAGCACTTTGCTGCCCAAGCTGATGCACCAGCAGCGCCTCCCTTCATCAGCGTTGCTGCTGCTGCAACAAGTGTATTAATAATAATATTAATAAACTAATAGTGCTTTATTTAATAATGTTAGTATGGGTTTCAATTTCATACACTCTATTTCTTGCCTCACACAATTTAAAAGATAATACTTGCAAAAATTATTTATAATCTTAAATTATAAACAATTTACAAATATTTTTAAACAGCGATTTTTAAATCATTTTGCAAACCATTTCATCAATCTTCAAGTTTACACCCCCCTAATGATGATAATAACAATAACAATCACTAAATAATAATAATAATAATAATAATAATAATAATAATAATAATAATAATAATAATAATAATAATAATCTCATGATGATTATTATTATCATTACATCAGGGAAAGCAGCTGGTTGTGGTTCATATAATAGCCTTTATAAAGAATGGAAAAAGCTTATTTGTTCTTTTGTTTCTTTTTGCATGCATGCTGCAGATTTAAAAGACAAACTCAACTACAAATTCGGCGATACCCCTGCTGCCTTTTGGATGAAATTCGAGACATTTCTTGAGGTGTTCACCAACATTTGTTTCTGTCATTATTTGCCTCCTCAGCAAAGAAGGCCATTTCCCTTGCAGCCGCTGTATACACCGCGAGCAGCCCCACCACCAACGGCTGACTTTGTTAGCCAATCGCATGCAATGCCTGCAATGCATGCAATGCATGCATGTATTCAGGGGTGTCAAGAAGAAAACCGGTGTGTTAGAAGCTGCTTTCTTGTGCTGCAGCTTTGAGGGTTTAGGGTATAGGGTTTACGGTTCAGGGCGTAGGGTTTAGTGTTTAGGATTTAGGGTTTAGCGGATAGTGTCCAGGGTTTATGGATCAGGGTTTATGGTTTAAGGTTTTAGGGTTTAGGGTTTAGGGTTTAGGTGGGGTTTGAGTTGACTCTACAGGGAGGCCAGCGTTAATGCCCCGGTGCAGAGCGAAGTATGGAGATATGCAGAGGGCGCTGAGGTGTATGTAACATCTCAAAGAGACAGCTGGAGGGGATTGTCTCTTTGCGGTTTACCTCGAGATTGGGTCCGGAGCCCTTTGTCTGCAGCAGCAGCAGCAGCAGCAGCAACCCCGCAGCAATCACCCCGCAGCAACGACCCCAGCATCAGCAGCGCCACAGGCAGCAAGGCACATGCATGCAACTCATTAGGGGGGCCCTTCTCTGGGGCTTCCAACAACAGGTGGTGTATCCAGAAAATAGAGACAGCTCCATCTGCTGCCCACCAAACGAGTATCAAGACAGCAGGCTTCTCAGCAGCAGCACGCGCTCCGTCTGTTGCTGCTCCCGCTTCCGTTGCTGTTGCTGCTGCTGCTGCTGCTGCTGCTGGGGTGGGGTCTCGAGGCGCAGCAACACCGACCTCAGCAACAACAGCAGCAGCAGCACAACAACATAGGCACAGCACGGTGCGGAGCTATACATACACCGCAATCAGCCGTCCCTCAGCTTTTGTTCGCTACGAACGCCAAGCCGAAGGCTTTGATATGGCATGGGTTAATGCGCCGATGTTTCTAGTGTATGTACCCTCTCCTGCGTCTGCTGCTGCTGCTGCTGCTGCTGCTGCATCTTCTGCTGCTGCTACACCTGCTGCCGATGGTGACGATGGCTCAAGCCATCTTCAGAGGGAGCACCAGCAGCAGCAGCAGCAGCAGCAAACGGGGCAGAGGTCGGGGCAAGAGCAGCCCCAGCAGCAAGGCAACGAGCAACAGCAACAGCAGCAACAGCAGCAACAGCATGTGGATATCCTCCTTTCTATAACTCAAGACTGCAGCCTTGACGCAGCTCCGATTAGCTTGGCGGTGTTTAGACCGAAGGTAGGGGCAGCCACAATATCTGCACTGAGGGTTTATTGTTTCCTTACGCTGATTAGAGTTTGAGGTTTAGGGCTTAGGGTTTAGGGTCTAGGGCTTAGGATTTGCGGTTTAAGGTATAGTGTATACGGTTTACGGTTTACGGTTTGGAGCGTAGGCTATAGGGTTTAGGGTTTAGGGTTTAGGGTTTATGTGTGTATGTGCGCAGGATTGTCGGCGCATCTGGTCGCATGCAGACGCGAAGCTGTTGGGGCTGTCGCAAGGTGTAGCTGAAGAAGATATGTCTGCATGCATTGAAGCCTTTAAAGGCGGATGCTGCTGCATAGCCAAGTGCATGCAGGGTTTGTTAGTGGGTGCACCTGAGCCGCGGGGCCCGTGGAGAGACAGCAGTTTGCGTCTCTTGCTGCAAAACAAAAATAAAACAAACAACAACAATAAAACAAAAAAAAATTTTAAACTTTTACTCGTCGTCTGCTTCCAAAATGCACCTCCTGACAGCAGCAGCTTAAAGTCAAACGAATTCGTCTTCCGTACATTCAGCTCCCACCCAGTAATCAAACCCTAAACCCTAAACCCTAAACCCTAAACCCTAATGTCTAAGGCTGTACCCTCACCACTCTAAACACTAAACCCTGAATTCTGGGTTCAAAATCCTAAACCCTAAATCCTAAACCCTTTATCAAACCCTAAACCCCAAAGTCATAAACCTGAAAAGCTACGAAGAGACCTATACTCCTTTCACCATCAAACGAATCCTAAAAATATATATAGAGGATAGGGTTAATTTCTTGCTTGCATGCAGGTGTATATGCTAGGGTTTATTTATTTATTGTTTGCATGCATGTCTGCATAAGGAGGGTTTATCTATCATTATTATTATTATTACTATTACTATTATTATTACTATTATTATTATTGCATGCAGGTGTATATAGCCTATGGTTTATTTATTATTATATTATTTTTGCATGCAAGCGTATATATAAAGGGTTTATTTGTTTAATGCTTGCACTCATGTGTATATAGAAAGGCTTTATTATTATTACTATGATCATTATGATTATGATTATGATTATTATTATTATTATTACTGTTACTATTACTATTATTGCATGCAGGTTTATATAGAAAGGCTTCCGCGTCCGCAGCACTATGAATTTTCGGGTGTATGGACACATGGTACTGCAGGTGAGTTTGTTTAAGGTTTTAAAATAATATAATTAAATGTTTTAAAACCAAACAATAAAAACAAACGGAAGAGGTTCGACTCTACAACCAGAACTATATAGAACAAAAGAAAAAAAGAAAGAGAGACACACACAGAGAGAGAGAGAGAGAGAGACAGAGACAGACAGACTGAGACAGAGACAGAGACAGAGAGAGAGAGAGACAGAGACAGAGACAGAGACAGAGACAGAGAGAGACAGAGAGAGACGAGACAGAGACAGAGACAGAGAGAAAAAGAGAGACAGAGACAGAGACAGAGACAGACAGAGACAGAGACAAAGAGAAAAAGAGAGACAGAGACAGAGACAGACAACTACGTAGAGGATCCAGCTCTTTTGCTTCCTCTCCTCCCAGTAGAGTTGTTGTCATTGTTTATTTGCTGCAGCTAAAATAAAAACAAAGAGGGCTACACCTTAAAAGATATTTGCATGCAGTTTGTTTCTGTCTTCTATGTATACATGTAATACATAAAAAGAAATATGTATATACATGTATATATATGTATATATATAATATGTATACAATATATATATATATATATATATAACACCATCCCTCTCTCTATGTAGACTAAACTAAATAAAATGCGTGAATTCTATTATCTATAACAATTATGAAATATAATTAATTAAATAAATTAATAATAATATAAACAAATAAATAAACAATTACTCATACTCTGCTGCATGCAGGAGGACGGCTTCTGACTTTCGGCGATCACCGCGGCGCTGCATTTAACTCCGCGTGGGCGACAAATCCGCAGTACGCGGTGTACGTACACCCCAGGTGAGGTGCAGCAGCAGCTAGCCATAGCTTGTACTAACTGCACCAGCTAGCCAGAGTAGCTAGCTTACCTAGCTAGACCAGATTGGTGAGCGCAGCTAGCTAGGCTAGCTTGGCTAGCTAGACTAGCATGGCTAGCTTAGATGCCTAGGCTGCCTACGGCGTAGCTAGCTAGGCTAGCTAGGCTAGCTTGGCTGGTTTGATCAACTTGGCTAGCTAGACTAGCTAAGCTAGCTAGGCTAGTTTGGCTAGCTGGGGAGTCGTGGCTAGCTGGATTATCCGCTTTCTCTATGCATGCGCGTACAGATGAGTGCATGCAAAAATAAAGTTGCCAGTGGGCGTCTTTATTTGGGGCTGGCTTAGGCAGCAGTAGGAAAAGAGTTTGCATGCACATTGCATGCATGCAAACGTTTTTGCATGCGCATGCAGATATCCTGAAGCCACAATTTGTATTGTTGTCTCGCGGCAGAAAGCAAAAAGAAAGAACGAGCAGCCCAGCCGAGTAAGACTCTCCACATCAAGCTAGCTAGCTAGCTAGCTAGCTAGCTAGCTGGCTAGCTTGATTGAGTGGACAGCTAGCCAGCTATCTCTCCAGCTAGCTGCCCAGCTAGCCATACACCGATCTATCGAGCTAACCGTAGCGCAGGCGCAGCCTAGAGGTCTTTGCGGATGCTTGCTGCTTCTCTTTCTGCTTCTGATGATTGCACTTCGGCCCCTGTTGTTGCTGTTGCTGCTGGTTTTGCTGCTGGGCTTGCTGCTGCTGCGCTTGCTGCTGCGTATGCTGCGTTTGCTGCTGCTTGTGCTGTCTTTGCTGCCTTTTCTGCTGCTGCGTCGGCGTTTGCTGCTGCTGCCGCCGCGTTTGCTGCTGCTGTCGCTGGGTTTGCTGCTGCTGCTGCATTTGCTGCTGCTGCAGGTTGGGCTGGTTGCTGCTTTGATGCGGGACCCGAAGAACGCCGACGAAGTGGAAGAAAGTTTGGCGGTTGGCAGTTTGCAAGTTGATGAGTAAAAGAAAAACAAGAAAAGCAAAAAAATATATTTTATTAGTGCATCAATGCGAAGAACAAAATAATATATATTGAGATGTTTATGTTAATGAAGCGCACCGCAATAACAATAATAATAAGCAATACTAATAATAATAAACAATTAATAATAAAAATAATAGTAATACTAATAATAAAACATCTTAGGGTTGAATTCGGTAAAGATTTGTTGCGGCTGCTCCAGCGGTGGGGTTGTTGTACTTTTCTTCGTTTGTTTTTTTTGTCTTTGTTTGTTTGCTGTTGCTGCAGTGTTGATTGCTTTGGTGTATCGCCGCCTCCACCTCCTCCAAAGTTGTACAGGAAGTTGAAGGTCAGCCTCTTCTTTAGGGTTTAGGGTTTAGGGTTTAGGGTTTTGGGTAGACCCCAAACTGTAAATCCAGGGTCTAGGGTTTATTTAGCTGTTTTTAGTTTTCCTGAGGGTTTAGGCTTCAGGCTGTATTGCTCGGTGTAAGCCCTAAACCATGGTTTAGATCAAGTCCTAAACCCTAAACCCTAAACCCTAAACCCTAAAGAAAGCCTGCAAACAGCCGCTTCTCTTCGTCTTCTTTCTTCCTTTTTTAAAGAAGAAGAGAGAAAGAAGATTGTACATGCAAATATGCATGCAAATATGCATGCAGATATGCATGCAATTGTTTGCTGCAGATTGAAGCAGACGAGTGGTTTGTTGACAGCATAGGAGAAGACAAGTGTTCTGTTAAGTTAACAGTCCGAAGCGGCGCGGTGGGCTGCACATTAGGGTTTAGGGTTTAGGGTTTGGGGATTAGGGTTTAGCGTTTGGAGCTCATTATGAGGGTTTGCGGATTAGATGTTTGTTTAGGGTTTAGGGTTTAGACGTGATGATTTGGGGTGCTTTGCGGTATATAGAGTTTGGCTGGAGAACGAGAGGGTTTTTGGGGTTTAGGGTTTAGGGTTTAGGGTTTATTGGGTGTATGCGCGGGTTTGCAGGGGCCGCTTATTATTTCTCCTTTCTTGGAAACTGCGGATACCCTTGGAGCCTTCACTTTAAACATCTTTAGTGATTTACCTTTACAGGTGGCTGGAGAACGAGAGGGTTTTTGGGGTTTAGGGTTTAGGGTTTAGGGTTTAGGGTTTGGAGCTGGTCAATGAACAATATTTCTTGATTGTGCCTTTAAAGAACGTTATTTTGTTGCTTTTTTTTCTGGTTTATATACTTAAGAAGCATTTTTATTGTTATTGTTCTTTTATCTTTTTATATACACTTAACAGCACTTCTTTTACTGCTTTCTTTCTCTTTTTCTCTTTAAAGACAGTACAAGAACTTGACTCAACAAAACATCAAACTTTTGTAGGACGCTGGGAGGCGGAGACCGCAGGCGGCTGCTACAATTTTCCTGCTTTGTTGCGCTCGCCTCACAGAGAAGCAACACGTGAGGGTTTAGGGTTTAGGGTTTAGCGTTTAACGCTTTGGAGTTGCGTTAGGGTTTGCGGTTTGGGGTTGTGGAGTTGGGGTAAGGTGTTAGAGTTAAGGGTTTAGGGTTTTTCGCGTTGTGGTTAGGGTTTAGGGTTTAGGGTTTAGGGATTTAGGGTTTACTGACTGGGGTTTAGGGCTTAGGGTTTTGGAATTGCATTGAGGGTTTAGGGTTTAGAGTTGAGTTTGGGCTCGTTGTGGATTGCGGATTTAAAAGTTGGGCACAGTATTGCGTGTCTAGGGTTTAGGGTTTAGGGTTTAGGGTTTAGGGTTTTCATGCATTATTTGGAGGCGGTTGTCTCTGTGGACAGGCGGAGCTCTGAATAACGAGGAGACAGGCGGAGATACACCGCATGCAAGCATAAAAAAGAGAGACGCCTCAACATGGTTTCAAAACCCTTGCTTTTATGTTATTGCAGCAGAGACAGCAGAAGTAGAATTGACCCTTGCCAGACACGACGATTGCTGGGCCAAGCAGAAAGAGCAAGTTCGATTCCCAAACCCTAAACCCTAAACCCTAAACCCTAAACCTTAGGGCTTTACAGGTGCCTTCCACGTTGCTGAGCCCCCTTCTAAACGCTTCGCCTGCAGATAGGTCCCCCGGTTTAGCTTGGGGTTTACGGTTTAAGGTTTGAGGATTAGGCTGCAGAACTAGGGTTTAGGGTTTAGGGTTTAGGGTTTAGGGTTGTACTGAGGTGTGCAGGATACAGCGGGATGCATGATAGGCCTTTATGTCTTTAGAGGCAAAAATATATGTCAAGAGGAATTAATACAACAGACAGATTTCACGGTGGGCTCATAAGGGTTTAGGGTTTAGGGTCTAGGGTTTGGGGGTAAGGCTTAGGGTTTAGGGTTTAATGTTTGGCGTTTAGAGTCTGAAGATCAGGGGTAAGGGTTTAGGGTTTAGGATTTCGGTATTAAGGTTTAGGGTTTGGGGTATAGGGTTTAGGGTTTAGGGTTTAGGGTTCAGGGTTTAGGGTTTAGGATGAAGTTGATGTTGTTTCTTCAGGTCGGCAACAAGATTTCGCTGTCTGTTTGCTTTGCATGTACACCCGGTGGCTCTGAGGAGTACACCGTAGTCCCAATCACTTGGAAGGTATGCCTCTTATCTGAGCAAACCCTCAGGGTTTAGGGTTTAGGGTTTAGGGTTTAGGGTTTACAGTTTTCATCTAAGGGCATGCACGCATGCAAGCATGCGTATGCAAATTTTAGCATGTGCTGAGATACAGATGGTTTGTGTTGGTTTTTGGGGTTAGGGTTTAGGGTTTAGGGCTTAGGGTTTAGGGGCAATCTACCGCAAGAATATTTTGTTTATTTCAAGGAGGGCATAGCAGAGACACCTCAACGTAGGAAAATCGATTTAAATTGGGGTTTGCCTTCAGCTGGTATTGTGCTTTCCTAAACCCTAAACCCTAAACCCTAAACCCTAAACCCTAAACCCTAAACCCTAGTGTGTGGTGTATGCGTTGCAGCCTGGAAAGACAGGCGATTTTTTGTTAAACTTCCGGGGGCCCCTCGACCGCCTCTCTATCATTCCCGCTACCCGCAGCGATCGAAACCCTAAACCCTAAACCCTAAACCCTAAATCACAAGTAATAAACACCGAACAATAAACCCTATCTCTAAACCCTTAACTCCAAACAACACACCCAAAGCAATAAACCCCAACCTCGAAACCCTAAACCCTAAATCCTAGGCGCCAGTAGCGTCTACTTGGATGATTTTGATTTAGGGTTTAGGGTTTAGGGTTTAGCACCCCCACCATTTACGCATTTCTTGTCATAAAGACTTCATGTAAATTACATGGGAATAGAAAAGAGGGTTTAGAGTGTAGGGTTTAGGGTTTAGTGTTTAGGGTTTAGGGTTTAGGGTTTAGGGCTAAATCTATTAGTTTTGTCTTGAGCTCTGAGCGGCAGTTAATGCAACTAAGGCAAAGGGTAACAAAGTAAAGAAATCATCTCAAGAAAACGCATGCATGCATTCGTGCACGAAACTTGCATGCATATTAAAACAAGCATAAATGCAGCAGCAGCAGCAGCTGCTGCTGCAGCTGCTGCTGATCGTGCTGCTTATGCTGCTGCTGTTACAGCTGCTGCTGGTGCCGCTGCTGGTGCTGCTGAAGCAGCAGATGCTGCTGAAAATGCTGCTGCTGCTGCGGCTGCAGCTGCAGCAGCAGTGATCGCATCTGCCACTTCAACTATAGAAAGGAGACAGGAGACAAAAAAAGACAAATCTTAACTTGAAAAAAATTGTTCTTGCGATAAGTCCCTGCGGGGGGCTAAAGTAAAC